CAAGACATTATATCCAGCCTTTCGAGCGAATGCAAAGAAACTTGGAGTGTTATTTATACAATCCCTGAGTTTTTGCATCTCAGATGCACTACTGGTATTCTGACTTGGTGTTGTCCATAACAAGTATCTCGGTGATGGTGGGGTCCTCTGATGAGTCTTCTGAATTGCTTCGTAATTAATACTTCGTCTTCTACCATTTCCTGTTTTGTCTGTGCTAACAAACCAGGCCTCTAGCAACCAAAATTATCTGTCACTGGCTGAAGAGGCGCGTAGTCACGGAGTATCCACTGGTCAGCATAAACTGTGCTTATCCTTCACCATTTATGTCGAAATTTCGATTCCTACCAACTACTTCGACGCTTGTAACCACAGAGAGGAGCGAATGTGTTCCAGTCATCACAACTGCATTTCTTGGTATTCTTTTATTCCATGTGGTGTCTTAACTCCTCGAAAAAAGCAGTTCACGGTTTGCCAATAAAAAAGAAGGTAATTGATAGTGACTCACACAATCTCATGAGGCTCTTCTGACTGAGAACGTCACAGGTGGCTGGCAACCTCTGAACTTATTCTGCAGCATATTCTATGGCCTCTTCACTGGTGGGGAGTGCTGCGTTAGACGACGCATGTCTTCCTTTTCCATTACGATTAGATTTTGGATGACGGATCTTCTTTCATAAATTGCGGACCAAGCTTGTGTCGGGTTAACGTTCACTTCACTGGAACAAACCCTATACCTCCGTAATGCATACTAAGGCCTGGTTCATGACCTGTAAATGCACACCTAAAGAAGAGAATAACTTACACACTTGAAAGCTCACGAACCAGGATTTCGTCTCCTGCTAAACGATACAAAGAAAAAAACAAAATAATAGCCCAGTCCGCCACATAATGCCGTCCTTTAAAGTCTTGACCATACAAAGAGTCAAGGCATTCTATAGCTTGGTGTGTTTTCAGAACATGGACTCATGCTTCCAGCAATTTTTCAAGTTGTCCGGCTATTTGAACCCAGGCGGTGTCCCAAAGAGTTTGCACAGTACCATCAAGCATCTAGGTGGTCCCCACTTTCAAAGGGACCATGATGTCACTAAAGTTATGTCCTGGCGTTGCTTAGGTGTTGCATATATGCATTTCACCGTTATGAAGCATATCCTAGCCCCTCGGTTTTCAAAATCTTCAGTAGGACTATAGAGAGTTCTTCTCAAATTCGACGTGCAGCTAACGGAAATAAAAAGCAGCAACTCGGGAACAAGCAGCTTTTAAAACACTCAAACACGTAAGCCAGTTCGTGAAATTATAGCTACTGAAATTACAGAATATAGGCAACGACAGTCATACGAAGTAACATTAGAGCCTGAAGCCGGGAAAGCCATCTAAGCGCAGCATCAAGGCTCTTAAAATCTGTGAATAAACATAGGAATACTTAACTTCTGAACTGTTCAGTTGACAATGGGATAACATTCCTGAAACGTGCAGTGTTGCATGCAAAACGTAATGTGCGTCATGTGTGTGGCCTCAGCAGCATGAAACGTGGAGCGTCACTGGAAGAGAAGGATTTGGGCATTCTAGTCCCACGGGACTTAAAATCCTGTTATAGAAATGCATTTGGCAGAAATTTGGTGTTAGTAACCATCAGACAAATTTTCAGACGATTCGGAATTGGTTTTTCCCCTCAGACTTTTAGCAGCTTCACACGGCCTCACCTAGTGATCGGGACTATCGTCTTCCTCTCTTCCCTGCAGGAGGAAAAATTAAGCTTAGAATTCATCCAGAGGCGCTCAGTGGACTCCTTTCGGAGACTTAGGCTTGAAACACATGACAGACTACTAGTTGCACTGGATCCATGTCCCTTGGGATGACTCACAGCATTCTGAGCATTCCAGGACAGCCACTCAAGGAATCTTAGCTGTAGTACTAATCTCGGGGGACACAAACAGAAACAAAGCCTAGAACACACCAATTTAGACATTAGACGCGACTTCTATTCCTTAAGGGTTGTTGAATCGGGAAAGCTGTTCCTGCGAAACTTATCCAGACTACTTCATTTGAATCCCTTAGACTCCCGTTTGGTGCTTACCTGGAATCTGAGTAGGATGTGCTCAGAAGTATTTAAATCTTCACAATTTAACTGTCATCTTTTGCTCTCTTCTTATTGTACACAGGTTATTAACCACAAGAAGTAGCAGCCCACAGATTCTAGACGCGGGAGCTAGTTAAGCAAAAGCTTCTATTACGTCAACAACCATTTGAACACCAATTTGTTACTTTTAATTTTAAATATACGCACTAGTAAAACAAACGTAAACTTACGCATACACTAATGCTACATGAGTCAGGTTAAGAGCATGTATCAGACCTATCCCTAAATGTACAAATGTGACACGGTAGTAAACGTGAAGTGTGCGCATGACCTTGAGAAGGTCACAAATAAGCCAATTACAGTTGTCCTCTAGACAGAAGGCAGGAATTTGAAATTGGTCGGCAACACACTACTAACTCAGTGAAGTCACTTGTATTGTGTCCATACTTCACGAATCATCTTTTGACATGAACTTAGCACTTGATGATTTGGTCCAAGAGTCTGAGAAGCTACTAACGGAAGTTCAGGAAGACAATGATTTGCCATATATCACTCGTAGTTTGGACCAAATGTGTCAATTTGGTGAAAAACTGCATCTTTCCAGGGGATCTAATAGTGATATAAAGGCTGCTCGTCTACTGGGTCCAAAGTTGAGTTATGAGCTCCCTAAAAATCTCTCCTCAAAATTGGAAGCATTGGTTCCGACTGATTCCAACGAAAATGGCCCTTTAGTGCCCGAGACAGATATCCAATCTTTTTTGAGGTTGGAGAGAGAAAATGCCTTGGTCGGTGCAATTCACTTGACTCGGAAGTCTGTAAGTGCTTTTTCACTTCATGTCCAGTTTGAATTCCCCATACGTATTTCGTTTGTATGGTTCTGTAGCACCGGTAGTTTTGCCAGGTAGGTGGAAAGTGGACAGCTGCCAAAAAGTTTTCAGCTGATTAAGTGACTTGCAGCACTAAACTGACTTTATGTACGGCACCCAGTAAGGGACCCGCGTGTTATGTCTCCCCAAAAGGAGAAAGATGCTGCCTTCCTAGAACGGGTGCCGATAAGTGCTTATGTTTTTGGGCTACAGTGGTTGTCCTAATTGGATCACCTAGCAAATCTTAACCTGCAACAAATAAAATAAAGACATCAGAGGTAGTATTATCATTCTGTACCATGTTGCTCACAGTCCCTTTCACCTAAGCACTGTTCGCCCAAACTACCATTAGAAATCGCATCCTAGTGCAGGCGTACACGAAGATCTTATCTGACTCTTCCACAAACTATCTGTAAACTGTGTTAACAATCTCAGCTTTTTGTCAGTCCTTTAGCTTGGTATCAGAACTGTAGGGCCTTATGACCCCGAACATAGGTTGATCACGTGCTTATTGACGGAGTAAAGACTGTCTTTGATCGCACTTCCTTCTCTATGAAAAGTGACCCACCCGAGGGATTAACGACCTTCTGCTGAGGTTGTGCGTTTAGGTCTCCGTGGCTTATTGTTGCCGAAAATGGAAACCAGGTGTTTGAAACTAAAATGTTGGACTGAATGTGGTTTTGGAATGAGATGTTTCCTTCTTAGTAGGACAGTCTTTGCGCCTCCGTAAAATTTCTAGCATTCTTCGTTGTTTCCTGTCACTTGTAGTGTTATGATTGGCTTATTTATAATTTTCACGGTTTTAGCCTTCTTTCATGTTGCTGTTTTTGATGTCCGCTTTATAATTATCGCATTTGTCGTGAAGTATCCCGTTGATACCTTGGTTTTATTGTTCTTCTGTGGGGTACTGAATTAGGACTTTCTCGATATTGGTAGGTTCTTCTGCAATTGTGAGTCTGTCTTATAAAGGCGTGGCCAGAATTCATTGGAGGTATTTTTTTTTACCTGTTTTTGAGTGGTGTAGTGTGTATTGATGTTATGTATTGAGGTCTTACGGGTTAGGAATTCGTTTCGTTCATTTTTAACAGTGAAGCGATTTCATGACAGATATCAATAAGTATTCAAATACTCATCTATATACAGTTATTACTCATAAGAATCACATGCTTGCACAGCTTTTTTGTTACTTCATCCATATCTTTTCACATGAGTACTAAATACACTGCCTCACCTCAAGATGTAATAAGCCATCATGTGTAGCATAATCGCTAGTTGCCGTATGTGGCGCAGCTTTCTACATATCTCAGGCGGTCTTATTATTTTATGTGTCAGATCTGAGTTTTAATTTTAAAATTACATGGGATACATATCTTGCTGATCTATGCAATCCATTGTATGAAATTCAAAATCTGACCGGAACCCATATTTCATTGCACACCTGTTTTCGAATTCAATGACTAATTTAACTTGTTTTCCTGATAGTTGTTTTGTGTCTGAAATTCTTCATTCCTCATTACAGATTTTTGAGGAGGTAGAGGAGCGTTGTGATGCTTACCTACAAAGTTGGTGGGAGCAGGAAGCTACTGGTGTGTTAAGTAGTTTATCAGGTTCAAATGGACCTTTGGATACAGAACTTTTATCTCTACCTGATCTAGAAAGTTACAATCAATTAAACTTAGTAGATGGGAAGCAAACTATGCAGTTAACACGGTATGAACTACTATACTCAAATCAGGTATGCATTTTTCCGGATGTTTTATTTATAAGTGGTGTCATAACGTTTGACAGTTGTGAAAGTTAAGTTTCTTTGTGTAAAGTACCTGTGAACTTACGTAATATCCCAACTTTTTATCGATTATTCGACTTTTGAGACAAGCTAGTCTCAGCACTATTCTTGCTTCCTCAACGTATCAGATGGACAAAGTCAACGTAGAATCTTGCACATATCTGCATCAGCTAAAGTTCCCACACTTCACAGTAGTATACAAAGATCAAGTGCATAAGAAAGATTGATATCAAAAGTCCTGTGAGAGAAGAAACAGTCTGAAGATAAAGGTTAGTGTGAATATTCAGACTCTACAAGACGTCAAGGAGTGGATACATCTGTGTCGCTGTGGCCAGTTTTCAGCCGCCACCAAGGGTTCACAACCACTGATTCTTATCGTCTTGGGGACCTCAACCAGGTAGTCTACATCTCCCCACACGGTTTACACCAACAGTTAGAGACTTCATCGACTGCTGCCAGTCTTGATCTAACCAACCTGAACCCTCTTCCATCTTAATCCAACTTCCTCCAGCATAGCAAGTCGAGGTGGGCGGTGGCTTGGCGTGCAAAACACATACAAAAGCCATCTCAGTCTATTAGGGTTCACAACCTCATCAATCGACTTGTCTCTCTTGCCTAGTACCCTTCGCCTGATCTAAACATTGCTCACACGTTGATTCCACCAAACACAACCCATGCTGTGGAGACGCCTGTGATCAAAACCCTATTAACCGCCGTTTGTCTTACTTTTAATGGCCATGTCTCAGCCGTACGTTAGGACAGAACAGATTGCAGTGGAGTATATTCGTCTTTTGATAGACAACGGGATATCTCGCCATTTGGCTCCAAAGATGACACAAGTTGGCAAATGCCAAAAGGGTACTCTACACCCGAGATCAAATTTTATCAGCAACCAGCTGGTTCGAGATGATGCAACTCCCTGAGTGACGTGGTCGACGCACCGTGAAAGAGTAGTTCTTCTTGGGGTACGTGACAAAGGAGGGGTAGTGTGTAACAGAGCCCCTGAAACATTTGCTTGAAGCTGATCAGACATGAGCATTTGGCAATTTTGGGATTTCGGTTTTTGGCTTTTGAATCCATCTATCAATCTCTGCTGCAGACATTTGCATGCCAACAGGGGGTGGAAGTGTGTTATTTATTTGGGCCGACCTTTTCCAACCCTCCTTTTCGTTGGGAAGATAGCATCAACGTGGCACTGCTGGTCATCCAAAGGAAACGCTCTACTGCTGTCACACCCCTATGCAGTCATCAGTACGACTTCGACCTCAGATCCCCCACCATAGCGTAGTAATATACACTGTAATGGTAACTGCTTTTCATCTTAACACTATCTAACAGAGGTTTCTGGCATGGTAGGATCTCAAGAGAACAAGCTTTCCGCCAGCATAGCTCGTGGGGTCATTGTAATACGTAAACCCGACCACCACGTCAAGGGAGCAGCTTTCGGTCGGTCGGTATTAGCGTCCTTTTTTCGCTACTATACGTTAGCTAGTTTTCACAAAACTTAGGCATTTAAAGTAGTATACGCAGACTACTAGTTCAAACGTCTCGATTCGTGAACAGATGCATTGCTTTTCTTGTTTTATATCTATTCTTTTATAAAGAGACTTATAATGAGTGTTTTCTGTTGGTTCGGGATGTTTGTCTAATAATAATAGTAATAATACTACTAATAATTGTAGCGATAATAATAAAATGATAGCGGTCACGGATAACCATCGAAAGCAATTTTATTTTTGGTTAGTCGTTCCAAAAAAATTAAGTGAGTATTGTTAATTTGTGCCCGACCGATAGCTGCTACCTTGACGTGGTGGTCGGGCTTGCATATCACAATGACCCAACGAGCTATGCTGGTGGAACGCTTGTTCCCTCGAGGTCCTACCATACCAGAAAGGTCTGTTGGGTAGTGGTTAGACGAAAAGCAGTTACCGTCATAGTGTAAATTGCTATACTATGATGGGGGTCTGAGGGCGAAGTCGTACTGCTGCTAGCTGGATGGGGTGTGACAGCAGTAAGGTGTTTCCCTTGGATGACCAGCAGTGCCAAGCTGATGCTGCCTTCTCAGTGGAAGGGGGGGTTAGAAAAGGTCGGCCCCAAAAATAACACACTCCACCACGCCCCACGGTCTGCCGGGCCGGCGGTGTTGGTTCACTTGTCGTTTCCTTTCGCTCATCCGGCCCCAAAAATACAAAAATTCAAAATAATCATACTCAAAAGGCTGGGTGTGACAGGCCTCAAGCAGATGTCCGATGGGCTCTGCGGTCACACAAATCTCTTTCAGGTACCTTAAGAAGAAATAGCCTTCCACGGTGTGGGCAGCCGGGAAGTGTCAACCGCCCTCACAACTCTGTCAGCACCCAAGTTTCTTCTGACTGCTATCCTCCTCCTCCATCATTACCTTCTAATCTTCCTTCACGTCTCTTAATTAATGATGCTGCATCATCTTCAATTTCTCCTACCTCTGCAGCCTTCGACAACGATCTGAGTCCACAGAACAGTGTCCCTGGTCTCCTTAAACCACGCTCCAAATTACATATTGGAGCCTTCAATGTCCGCACCCTCCGTCAAATTGGCCAACAGGCTTCGTTGGCAAAGACTCTAGCAACTCGGGCATGGATGTGTGCTGTGTTTGTGAGACACGCATACAGGACCCAAGTGTGGTTATTCACCTGACCTCTCCTGACCAATCTGGTGAATCTGCAAAATTCACCCTTCGAGTTTCTGGAGATTCGATAGCTAGCTCTCGTGGTCTTGCAGGTGTAGGTATAGCATTAAGCACCAGGGCAGAAAACTCACTACTAGACTGGATCCCAGTTGATAGTCGCCTCTGCGCTATGAGGCTGAACGGCACAGTGAGAACTAAAAGGAATAGTGAGACTCGCCGTTGTCTCTTTGTAATCTCTGCTTACGCACCCACTGACTGTAGTTCGGATGAAGTGAAGGACGAGTTCTACCATAAACTGTCTAACCTCCTCTCGAAAGCCAAACGTTCGGACGTAGTGGTTGTTGCAGGTGACCTCAACGCACAGGTGGGTAGACTGAGTGAGGCAGAAAGGCACTTAGGTGGCACTTTCGGAATCCCAGCTGAACGTACAGATAACGGTGATCGCCTATTACAACTATGCTCAGATAACCGCCTATTTTTAGCCAGCACAAATTTCAGACATAAAGAAAGGCACTGTCTGACCTGGCGTCCACCGAGCTCGACTCAGCGATGGACACAGATAGACCACATTGCTATTAGTCATCGCTGGAGAGGATCGGTGGAAGACTGCCGCTCCTTCTGGAGTACGTGTTTGGACAGCGATCATGCGTTGGTCCGAGCACGTATATGCCTGCGTCTCAATGGACGTAGAAAAAATTTGGCAACAAAACCACTACGAGTTCTGCTGGACAACGAAAACACCAAAGCCGTGTTCAGTGAGAAGTTGGCTAGGCAGTTATCGGAACAAAAGACTGTCACTCATCCAGAAGAAGCTTGGTGCCATCTTCAGTCTACTGTAAAAGCAGCACTGGAGACTGTAGCCGACTCCAAGATAATGGCTAAAAAGAGCCAGTGGATATCAGCAGCTTCTTCCAAACTAATGGATGCACGTGAATGCATCCCTGCAGGCTCTGAGTACAATGAAGAGCGAGCGCAACTTAAAAATAAACTGACGAAAAGTCTGCGCAACGATCGTGAACAGTGGTGGGCAGCAAAGGCTAAAGAGATGGAAAAGGCAGCGGCGATCGGTAACAGTAGACAGTTATTTAGACTTATTAAGGAGACTGGGGGGAAATGGTCAACAACAGTTAGTGAGGTTATAGCGGAGAAGGACGGATCGGCGATTCACTCGCAGGGAAGGCGACTGGGACGATGGGCAGAACACTTTGAGGAACAGTTTAACTGGCCTCCAGCCACCATTGCGCTGCCCGCTATCCAGTCGGACCCTGAATGGGACATAGAGACAGGTCCCCCAACACTAGAAGAAGTTGAGAAAGCGGTAGGTAGCCTGAAACGGGGAAGGGCAGCAGGACCAGACGGACTACCTGCTGAGGTATACAAGAATGGTGGTAGAGTTCTCTTAGTCAGGCTAACGGAAGTGTTAGCCAGTATATGGGAATCAAATACGATCCCCTCCGACTGGTCTAAGTCACTGATCATCCCAGTCTTCAAGAAAGGCGAGAAGTCCTCTTGTGATAACCACAGAGGAATCAGCCTGACAAACATAGTGTCTAAGATCCTAAGTTCTATAATTCTCCGACGCCTGAGTGGAGCTCGGGAACAGCAAGCCCGAGAAAACCAGGCAGGCTTTAGACCTGGCCGTGGATGTATCGACCAAATATTCACACTGCGCCAGGTCCTGGAACATAGGCATGCTTACAGACGCCCGACAATAGCTGTATTTCTCGACCTGAAGGCGGCATTTGACTCCGTTGATCGAGAAGTCTTATGGCAGTGTCTGTCACTGAAAGGCGTGCCTAGTAAGTACATCACCTTATTGAAAGCTCTCTACTCGAACACTTGTGGGCATGTTAGAGCCTATGGTGAGTTGTCCAGGGAGCTATACTCATCAAGTGGTGTCCGTCAAGGATGCCCACTATCCCCATTCTTATTTAATTTTATCATAGATATTCTTATGGAGGTTTCCCTCTCGTCACCTAATTACAAAGACGTTGACCGGATCACAGGTGAATTTTCCTTAGATCTAGAATATGCAGATGACATAGTCCTGTTAGGTGAAGACGCTGACAAGATGCAGAGTCTTCTGAACACTTTGAGTGGGAATTTGAGAATGTTTGGGATGCGATTTTCACCACCCAAATGCAAATTTTTGCTCCAGGACTGGTCTTCAGCGGTACCGCGGTTAACAATAGAGAGTGAAGTGGTTGAGTGTGTTGACCACTTCACTTACCTGGGAAGTAGGATCAACTCCGGTGGGTTAGTTGCCGATGAGATTTCTGCACGGATACAAAAGGCTCGATTGGCTTTTGCCAATTTGCGCCACCTATGGCGCCGCCGTGATATTCGTTTGTCTATTAAGGGTCGCGTGTACTGCACAGCAGTCCGCTCTGTTCTACTGTATGGCTGTGAAACATGGCCATTGAAAGTGGAAGACATGAGAAGGTTACAGGTATTTGACCACCGTTGCCTTCGTAGTATAGGACGTATTCCGTGGTGTCACCATGTGAGTAATGCAGAAGTTAGGTGTAGAGTTTTAGGGAGAAGAGGTAAGTCAGTCGACGAGGTTGTGAACCTTCATCGACTGAGATGGTTGGGACACGTACTACGTATGCCTAGTCACCGATTGCCTCGTCACACAATGTTGGCTGAGGTGGGTTCAGGCTGGAAAAAGGCCCGAGGTGGCCAGACTAAAACATGGCACCAATGTATGAAGTCTCTGACTGTTGGTTTAAGCCATGTAGGACGATGCAGACTAGGTGGTTGGGGTCCACGGGACAAGAGGAACCAGTGGTTGGAGACCCTAGGTGATATGGCTCAGAACCGAAGTCAGTGGCGCAGATGTATACACACATTATCCTCATCTTAACAACGCTATACCGAATCTCACTATTTTGTCACTCCTCTTTCCTTTCTTCTCATACTTTATATTTCTTTTGACTGCATTCACTTATCTTCATCCTTCACCTCACTACCTTTTTACTTGATGTGCTGATATGAGGTGTGGCAACTCGGACCGTTACGCAGTAATGCCTGGTCCTATGTTGATAATGATGATGATGATGATGTTAATTTGTTAGCTGCCCTCACCACTTCGAATTCTAACATTTTCATGCTGAATGATGGTCACTTTTATTGTAATTGTTTATATTTCAGATACAAAATCTCCACTATGAGTATTAATTTAAAGACATTTGGTAACTCCCGAAGCTACTAAGTCTCACCGTCTTTTGGACCTCAATAGGGAAGTCATAATGCATCAACAGATGATAGCGCAACAGGTTTATCATTCATTTCACGGTGTTGCGTTTGGGATAATCACATATTCGCTTTTCTCAACCAGTTCCAAGAATATCAAAGAGTGAACGGTTTATGAGCTATTGGAATGACATAAAATATATCCGATCCACTGGAGCTGATCTTTAAGTATACTGAAAGAAACAAGAAGATACGTACAAAGGAAGGAATATTTATTATTAACATGTAGCACAGTAGTCGTTAAACATGGTACACCTTGCACTAAAACCGTCACCTGCAAAATGTGCTTCATTTCCTCTTCTACTTCCTTCTTGATTTGCTCCTCATATGCCCACATTATCTCTTGCATTTCTCTTGGCGGAATCCTTACCCATTGCTGGTAATTCCTATGATTTCTGCCACCCTCTCAACATATACTACTTATATCCATTCCTATCAGCAACGCCCACTACAGTACCTTCAAGTATTCACTACTTCATTATCCGTTTTGCGCTTGAACATACACCACCTGAACGTAGAACTAATTACATTTTGTTTCCCCGAAATGCTAATAGTTCTACGGTGGTTGATCTGATAGAGTCTGCAGATACTTTATTTTTGAAGGGTCAGGTTTCTTAGGTATAAAGTAGAAGCGACGTGTTGTGCAACTCCTCTTACAAAATATCAGAGTCGTGACGGTTACAAAGTTGATGAAAACTGGTATATAGCTCCTTGGCTTTCTATAAACGGTTAGAAATCTCACTAACCACACCCGGACTGGCACTCATCCAAACGCAGACTTTTCAAAAACTTCAAATAGTTCACTGCCAAGATTCATTGCAGTTACAGACTTCTGTCAACCTTGTAAAAGTACTTTCTACGTCAGCAGTGAAGCTTATGTACCATACCAACAGACACTGGTCGCTTTCGACTTCAGTGGGGCTTTAGTGGCTTCTGTGTTGTCATAGTAAGACAGCCATGTGGTCGAAAAATCGCTCTCCTGTTAGCAGATTTACACTAGCACTCACATCCTTTAAAACTGTTTCAATAATGTCATCGACGGCAAAGTTAAGGGGTATGATAAAATCAGATAACCCTCTTTTACCACACTTGTTTTGGAATAGTGGAAGGAAGTAGTTGTACACGCCTACTCTGTTTGCGATTTTCATATAGGGTCTTCAATATGTTTATAAGTTTTTCCGGGACATCCCTTTTTGTACCTATGTAGGTGTCACAGCTCTTATAGATAGTGGCTTGTGTATCTCTATTTATAGTTATCATACACAACTGAACTCTTATTAATCTATCGACGCACAGTCTATCACGGTTAATGACGATGAACCATTCTAACCACTAAGCTACTTAAAAGTATTTATTGCTTCTCAGCAAGTCGACGATCGTTAATAATTTAGTGATTTAAATCATCACTCGTATAAATCATGAGCTGTATATAACTTATTGACTGAGTTTAAAATAAATGTATTGTTAGAAGTAACTATTCACACAATTCCTGAACTTTTCAGTCCCAACATCTTGAACAAAGAAAATATTTACGTTCTTATTTAGTTTATTAGTTTATAGCTCTGTTCTCTCAATCTTTTTTCGTTATCATATGACTGTCTCCCTTTTTACTTATGCACCTAATAAGTATGGGTTCAACCTGTTATAAATATGCTGCGTATTTTACATTTATGATGTACTTTATGGTTTGAACTGCATATTTCATACTTGTCGATTTTATGTACATGTACGACGGAAATTCTAACCACAAGACTAATTGTATACTACATCTATACTGCAAATTTACGTGAAAATCGAAATATATACATTATTCCGTTTCGCAAAATTCACAGGAGTTTACGTGTGGAATATGTTTATGTGTCTATGGTCTAAATAGTACTTCACGCCTTTGGTAATGTGTATACATAACCCACTTACTTCGAAAGCGTAGTCTTCGCACTATATATGTAACAAAGTTATGAGGAACTATTGTGCTACACTAACTACTATGCCTAACTTACCTTCAGGATAAACGAATACACGATCCTCCTGTGTGACACGAACAGTCAAACTAATATACTTAGTATGATTTTTTGACATTATCATTACGGTTTGGTATTACTTTAAAAAAGCAATCACGTTTCACTCATAGTTTAGAGATTTGTAGTATCAAAGTTGTTAGGCTGTCTAACCACTAACTTTTGTTGCAAATAAATACGCCCGGATGTTGTCGACTTAGCAACTCCGTGGAAAAGTATTTGAGCGGTGAAGAATTAAGAGTTACTAACACTGAGTTTCTATAAATTAGCACTGCATTCGATTTTAAGAGTATCCAGGTGATCTGATTTTCATCTGGCTTTCGAAGAGGGGAAATGCATTGGTTATAAAAAAAGCTTATTTTGTTATTTTTGTTGTCCGCTGTTGACGTTTTATACCTTCTTCATATCCCGTTCAAGAATTCTCATATATTTTTCTTGTATTACTTTCATGTATTGTAGTAAATATACCCCCATTTTTCTCAAAATAACTTTCAGCTGGATTGTTACCTTTCCCTACACCTCACACCGTCTGCTGATTTCACACCTATTCAGAATGGAGTTCCTCGTGACCTGCTAACTTATTTATCTAGATCCCATGATTCCATTTCTCGTGAAAAGCAGCTAAAATCACAGTCAAAGACGTCTCATTCGGATATTGCGGAGATGTGGTGTTTTATGAAAAGGATTGCTTACCGTATGCGTAGTGAACATAGTAGTCTATTATCATATGATCGTCCACTGGAACTTCGAGCATCTTCATTTGTTCAGAATACTCTATCGCTGTGTGCTCTAGAACATTTGGAGGCCGAATTTTTAGAATTTGTAAAGGCAACGGTTGCCAACCAACCTCGTCTAGCCCGACTTGGTGGGCGTCCAGGAACTCGATCCCTAGTACGTGCATATCTGAGTCTTCGCCTTCCATTAGAAAGCATACCGGATGATTCATTTCTCAACAATTCATACCAGTCATCCGAATTTGATGTACGTTGAATTTCGTTGTATTTTATTGCCTAGTCACCCTTGCGACTTATTAATTAGCATTCTGTCCTGAATAACAGTTTTGGGTTTTTTAGAGGATCCAACAGAGTACAACATATTCAGATAGAGGTAAATTGACAAGTTGTGAGCTGTAAATGTGGTTTTACACCATTCAGAAAATATATTTTGTAGCTCTACGTTCCTAGCATTGTTAAGACTAACTAGTTGAAGACAGAAACCGACACAGCTGTGAATAGTTTTCAGCCATACAGATGTATTTCATGTTAATTGTATTTTTTAGTTTGATCGACCGTACTGCTTGATTTTTCGCTTGTGTACTAAAGCTTTCCTAAGCCGTTGTCAAATATTTTTAATTAAATGTACCTCGAAAATGTGTTTTAGACACTTAAGTTACTGACCACAGTAGTTATTTCGTTAAACCAAAGTTAGTACTGCATTGCCAATCGAATCAAGACTTTTTTTTCTCGTTTCTCAACCTGGTAATGTCTAACACTTTTGATTCACTCTATTCCACTTTTCATGTTCATAATTTTTAATTACTAGTTTATTTGTTAGAAGTCACTTAAATTTCAACTGAAAACCTAATCAGAAACTGAATAACGTATATTCTTCGGTGCTTCTTACAGTAAGCGTGTAAACTGGTATTGTATTTTTCATCCTATATTTATTGAGTAATGATTTCAGTTTTCCATTTCCTATTCTTAGGATGGTCTTGTAGATGGTGTGCCTGTATGGCCCATGCTTTTCTACTGCTTACGTACTGGAGATACCCAGGTGACCTTAGAAGTTGCTCATGATGCTGTGTAAGTCACTCATTGGTTGTTAATTCTCTCTCTCATAAATTTTTTTCGAAGCTCTATATTCAGTGGTTTTTCCAAGTGCCTAAATAAGTACTCCTAATTTTATGTAGTGTTCTACTCATTTGGAATGCATTTTTAAGAACTGTTCTCTCGATTCCTAAAGGATGCACACAAGAATTTCCAAAAAAGACATAATGCTCAAGGGAAATGATTATTTTTCTATTACAAAGCTAGTTGTCAAGTTAAACTAGAAATAGAAAAATAATAATTAGGAAAGTTTATGTACTGAACTGTAAGCCAAACCTAATGCGCGAGAGCCTATAATACTGGTCTTAATGAAGGTGAGTAAAAAGGTGTTCGAATCCGCCATCTACACGTTTTTAGTCGCGGGAGGTCTGAACCAGTGAAACAGCGACGTATGGGGATAAACATGATTCGCTACCAGTTTCTACATTTTTTTTTCTCAAAGTTATGAGTCATATTTTTTGTACTCAGTCCGATGGTTAATTTACGTAATTTTAAGTTGTAAGCTAGAAACAGTATTTAGCCCAAATTGTTTGTATATTTGTGCTCAAGCTTATATGTTGTGGTGTTTTTGTGAATCTAAATGTTACTTTCACGTTTAGTTCACTCGGTTACAAGCCTAACTACTTTTGTTATTTATCAGTGCTGGTTATTGACAAAGCATTCCCGAAAAATTCGATTTCCTCATGTAACAGCTTATGGTTTATAACTGTGTTCATGTGATTCACAGTTTCATAAATTTACAGATACAATTACACTTCAAATGAGTGACTAAAACTTTTGAAAACTACTATTCTACTAATACTCTATCCCAATTTTCCTTCTGTCGTTATTATGCTCTTGATTTAATGGTGTGGTGGCTGTCATTAGTGTTCAGTTGATTCCACCCACTATTATTGTACTGGGTTATGTACGGATCAGATCCCACTAGCACTACTGTCACATCAGCTGACTCAGAAGATAAGTGTATTCCACTGGCACACAATGAGTAATAGTGTATATAATCAAATACATTGAAAATTTATGAGGCCTAAAAAGTGCAGATGGCCTGGTCTGAATGTTAACGAACGAGGACAAAAATAGTGAAGTCAAAACCATAAACTGTTGAGTAGTTACTGTTCTAATTCACCTCGACCATAATTACAACAATCATCTGTGAATACCCTTACCAGTTATTGTTTTTTTGCATTTCAACTCAACAAACAGGCTTTTTTTTTACTGTAGCGAGCTACACCTATTATGTGCGGACTGCAATGCTATTCGACTACCCAAATCTCAGTAAATAAAGCTGCATTTGAATCCGTGACCCACTAGTTGAAAAGTGTCTACCTAGTTCAATAAACTTGTATTAAAAATCTTATTGTTTGCAGAGTGTTTGTATAGTAGTAGGTAATATCTGTATCTTCACCAATATCGAGCCTGATCCCGAATGGGACGTAAATGTCAGTCCTCGAACTGTCTTTCAAGTTGAGAAGGCTGTATCAAACATGAAACGATGCCAGGCACCAGGACCTGACAGTTCGTTACCGGACATCTCCCAGGATGGTAGTAAGAAGTTCTTAACCAAAGTGACGGAAGTAGTGTATGGAAAAGAGGTAGAACCTTCAGACTGGTCTGCCTCTATGATCACTCCAGTCTGTAAGAAGCGGGAGTGGTCTTCCTGTGAGAACTAAATGGGTATTAAGTTGACTGTGTCGAAGATCCAGCGTTCACAGTTATCTAACGCCTAACTAAAACTCGAGACCAGCACACTCGAAAAATCCAGACAGGTTTCAGACCTGGACGGGGTTGCATCGATCAAATTTTTACCCTCCGACAGGTTCTGGAACACAGGTATACCTACCAAGGGCTGAAACAGAATACTTCTTGACCAGTGTGGCATTTGTCTCAGTCGACCGTGAGGTGTTGTGGCAGTCTGACTGTGAAGGGAGTACCGAGAAACTATATAGTGCCAACCAAAGCTCTCTACTCAAACTCACACAGTCAAGAGTTGTCATCTGCACTAACTAGCGGTGTTCCCTAGGAATGTTCGCTGTCACCGTTCATATCTAACTTCTCCATAGACGTACTACTGGACATAACCTTGGGTGCTCCTGACTTCATAAGGATTGATCTACTCCCTGGAGGGTGTGTGGTTGACTTGGAGTGTGCAGTAGATGTCCTGCTGGATGAAGACGGTTTCAAAATGCAGGGTCTTCTAAACGCTTGAGCGGAAATCTGAGTATGTTTGACACGCGTTTAGCTGGCACCTGTCAAAGGGACTAGTCTGCTGCAACCACTCCCAGTTTAATGAAAGGGAGTGGAGTGGTAGATTGTTTTACTATTTCACTTACTCAGGGAGTTGCATCATCTCGAACCAGCTGGTTGCTGATAAAATTTGATCTCGGGTGTAGAGTACCCTTTTGGCATTTGCCAACTTGTGTCATCTTTGGAGCCAAATGGCGAGATATCCCGTTGTCTATCAAAAGACGAATATACTCCACTGCAATCTGTTCTGTCCTAACGTACGGCTGAGACATGGCCATTAAAAGTAAGACAAACGGCGGTTAATAGGGTTTTGATCACAGGCGTCTCCACAGCATGGGTTGTGTTTGGTGGAATCAACGTGTGAGCAATGTTTAGATCAGGCGAAGGGTACTAGGCAAGAGAGACAAGTCGATTGATGAGGTTGTGAACCCTAATAGACTGAGATGGCTTTTGTATGTGTTTTGCACGCCAAGCCACCGCCCACCTCGACTTGCTATGCTGGAGGAAGTTGGATTAAGATGGAAGAGGGTTCAGGTTGGTTAGATCAAGACCTGGCAGCAGTCGATGAAGTCTCTAACTGTTGGTGTAAACCGTGTGGGGAGATGTAGACTACCTGGTTGAGGTCCCCAAGACGATAAGAATCAGTGGTTGTGAACCCTTGGTGGCGGCTGAAAACTGGCCACAGCGACACAGATGTATCCACTCCTTGACGTCTTGTAGAGTCTGAATATTCACACTAACCTTTATCTTCAGACTGTTTCTTCTCTCACAGGACTTTTGATATCAATCTTTCTTATGCACTTGATCTTTGTATACTACTGTGAAGTGTGGGAACTTTAGCTGATGCAGATATGTGCAAGATTCTACGTTGATGTTCAAGTCGGTGTTAGTTGGTCAGGTTTGAGTACCGCTTCACCTAGCGAATTTTGGACAACCAGGTAGTTTTAACAGCCTGCACACATAAGTGTAGCTTGTTGCCTACTGCAGGAAATTCTTAACGGTTACCAAGTTACAATTTTTGAACAAATTGTGTTGTTTTGCACCTCAGTTCTTTTGTGCCATTGACTCGTTTCATAACTTCAGTGTTTCTTGTTTTGTAGCTTTAATTCATGAACACCATTTATCATGAAATATCTGTAATCTCATGTTATTCACGTTCATTGACTGACTGTTTCACGGGAGTGAACCTAGAATAGTGAATTCCTGTCCCATGCACTGGTTATTCAACATACAGTTCGGCGTCCTATTGACAGCAAGAATTATGTTGAAGTTCGTTTATAAACCTTTTAAAACTTGCTAAGAGGAGATCAAGTTTTGTATTACTGATGGGAAACCATTTTGTATAAACCTGTCTGAAATATTTGAAGAATTTAAATAGTGTATTGAAATAAAATGTAAACTTTTCATCGCATTTTATAAACTATTACTTAAAACCATCAACAGTGTGTTATTATGCTATTTCTTCATAATTATTTGATGTATCATTGTTAGGAACAATTTAGGAAACTTTGTAAATGTTCTTGAAGAATATGTGGAGAACAGTCGGCGTCTTCGAACACCCAATCAAGCAAGATTTCGTCAAACATGCAAACATGTGATTAAGTCTACACGTGACCCTTATAAAAGGTTAGTAACTACCCCAGTGGCATTGTTTTCCTCTTAAAATGAAAGTTGTAGATACTTTAACCAAGATATCCACTAGTTAACACTGTTCTTTAATAAAAAATCAGAGAGAAGTCTTTTCAACTGGTTACTAGGACCGATGGGTGTCTTTTCGGCTTAAGCACTGGACTTGCAGGCAATGAATTTAGGGCCGGAATCCTAATGCAACTTCTGTCTGGCAATCAGGTATTATCGGAAATCCTGACCGGAAGTGTTGCTAGTAGCCTTGTATGCACATTTTAACCAGTTGAGTTGCACTTGCTTTTTTTACAGACCATCTACACACATTCCAATTATTAAATTTCAAGAGCGTCCATTAAATGTTAATATCAGTACTACGGTATCCGCAAACTAATGGGAAGTTATGTAAATAATGGAGAAAAAATATGAAGATCTAGAAAGTTTCTGTCTCCGTTTGAGTCCACCAGCGTCCTTAAAGCGTCCACGCATTGTGATAATATTGATCATAGTATGAGTAGATCAGTGGATTGTAGAAGAATACGCATCATACAGATATGAAAATCCTGACCCAAATCTAATTCCAAGTTGTGATAAGTTCAACTTGTTGGATTTGTAGATAATTTGTTGCGAAAATATTTTCTTTCTTTCATCACGCATAGATATTGACGCATTGATTTCTGACCTGCCAGTGTGAGATATATGGGGATTTGATGTACGTTGGTCGGCATAAACGGATATAATAGGACTTATTGTCTTTTTCGTGAGAAATATATAAAGATTATTAACAAATTATTCCAAACACAATCACATGCCACCTAAGTCTTAGTAGGTTAAAAGACAGAAAGAGACTGATCGCCTACTTGCTTAGAGAAAATAATTATTGGTTTGGTTAAGTTTTCTGTAAGGCGCTGTTTCTTCTACCTAATGGCCAGTTTCCACCTAGAACATAACAGTTTTAGATTAACGAGTTTCCTTAAAATATGGTCTGCTATACAGCGTAGTTTTAAATTATGAAAGGATTTATCCCTTGATATAAAATGAAGCTCAGCACGTAACCACAGTTTTTCATTCACAGCATTAGTGTGACGCCTGAATGAAGACTTTTTTTTTCGTAAACATAGGGAAAACAGCCAATGACATAATTGGTGACTGGTAAATACTGTGTTGAATTAACAATGAAAAACAAGTTTCCAGCTGCTGATTTCGCGCCAAAGTTGACCTGTGATTCAAAAAATCTAAATTTTCGAGTTGGAGTATATTGGTCAGTAACATGTTATTGTTTGCACTACGAATCATAAAACCAATTCACACAACACATGTCCTGTTCAAGCATAAGTTCAAGAAGAAAATCTACCAGAGTTGTCACCGTATACACTTGATAAAAGATTGATTCCAGGTCTGATGTGCAGTACATGCTATATAAAGAGCACTAAAAAATTGAACTGTATAGGCAGTTACAACATATATCAAAAAGGCAACCAGATTGAAATAAAAACGTTCTAACTCGCCAGTTGCTGAAACCCGTTATGAACTGGGTGCAATTAATGTCTTCAACACGAAATTGTACAGAGTACGTTTACGTCTCGTTCATATGATCTACTCATAGATCAAAAACCGCATTTGTGACTAATTCAGTCAATTATTTATTGCAGCTGCCTATAAAGTTCAATTTTTTAGTGCTCTTTTATATCGCGTGTACTGCACATCAGACCTGGAATCAATCTTTTATCAAGTGTATACGGTGACAACTCTGGTAGATTTTCTTATCGAATTTGCTTGGAAGACGCATATGTTGTGTGAATTGGTTTTTATGATTTGAGTGAACACTTGAACAATAACCTTCAGATCTCCACCCTTGATGTTTGCTCAGTTCTTTGGTAGATAGAAAAGACAGTAAAGTAGTAGATGCATTGAAGCGTCGAAATACATACAAAACGCAACGGTTTATGTACATATACAGAGGCTTTGACTGTTTCTAGTCCTTTCTCTTCAACGAATCTGATATTTGCAAGTAGGTTCACCTGCTTTTCCGAAACTTCGAATTAACGCAATTGATTGCAAAAGACTTCAGACATTTAGCACCTCCTATGAAGATCTGACCAATCTTATTTCATACTTTTCAATTTCCAGTCATCATTATGAAGCTAGTGTATATCTCAATAAAGCCGAAAATGTTCCGTTTTTCTGCTTCCTGAAGTCATTAATTTGATTAATTTCATTACCATCTTTCTTGTTTCAGATTAATTTATTCTATTCTTGGTCAATGTGATCTGAATGAAAATCATACAGATGTTGTTTCAAATGTAGATGATTTTCTGTGGATAAAGATATCTCAAGTTATTGCATACGATCCTACAGAGTTCATAGTTGCATCAAGGAGTACTACGGATGATACTGTAACATTGTGTCAACTGCAAAGCCTATTGTATGAAACCTACGGTATGAGTTTTCTTTTCCTGCTTACTGTATTGCTTTTTTATGTGTAATTGCGTAGTAGTAGTTGAATGGGTTAATTTATTACTTAGCCTGATGTCTAATAATCGGGAGTGTGATATGCTTTTGATAGTTCTAGTGCTCCTCATTGTCCTTTGAATATCCATATATAGAGTAACTGTAGCATCAGTTCTATTTCTTGTACCTCGATGCCGTGTCAATAGGTTGTAGTCGTTTCTCGTTATTGTCACGAACACATGTAGTAGATTTATTTTGGTGGTACTTTGTTCCACTTTCGAGCCTGTGTAAGAACTGAAATGTATGATATCTACTTCTTGAACTAAAGAACAAGTAGCACCTGACGTCACGATTTTTGTCTTTCTATTAACTCCATTTGAACCACTTTTAATGCGATTGCAGTACGATTGTGGCAGTGTAATCTGTCACTTTCAAAGCTTTTTGTAAAGGACTTGAGAGTGTATTCGCCTACAGTCATACCTACTTTGTAAGTGCACAGGTTGATTCATGGAAGTAGGCAGTTATTTGTGCTTCAGTCTAGTTTTATGAGGCAGTACCCAACTAGTTTATCAACTTAGAACATTTTGGGTACCATTTCCTTGGATTTTCGTTGGCTCATGCTCAACATATCTTTTAGTGTATAACTAGCGGATTTTGAAATTCACTGACAGTCACACTGTCAGTTGCTGCAGTATTATTAACGAAGGGATCTTGGAAACTTTCCGTTGTATTTTCTCTAGGCTTCAATTGGCTGTTTTTCTGAACCATCATGTAAGCTTTTCTTAACAGCAGCAGTTTACGATAATTACATTTAGGCAGTTTTTCTTTTAATACTCTTATGAAAATTGTGTTTGACGTTTTAGGTGAATTGCATTTTGATGCTTGGTCTCAACCATTGATCTACTTTAAAATTCTATGTCTTACACAGCAGTATGAAGCAGCTATAGGATTTCTCGCTCGCTTTGAACAGCTGCGATGTCATGCGGTTCATATTGCTTTGGTTTTTCATGATCTACACATGCTGTTAATGCCTAACTGGCTTCACTCATCATTGGGTAAGATGATTTTTTTCTCATTCATCCACGGTTTCGTGCATTTCATATGGCGATATCGCTGAATAAACATGAATCAATGAGTATAAGTTTGCTCTGACAATCAACGATACTAGCCATTGTAATTCTCTCATCTCCACCATATATTCTCAATATCATATTACTTTGTTTAGTAGGAAATGAAGTGTGTATATACCTTTGTAGTCAACTTTCGTGAATAAAACAGTCCTATACTTCACGTTAGACTACAGAGGTGAAATCCGAATCTACCAGTTCAACATATCCGATGACTAAGTTATCTAACGTGATGTAATTCGTGTGTACTTCTATAAAGCTAGCTACACATTTCGTACCAGAGATCTTTGTCCTTACTTGCATACATTTGTCATATAGCAAATAATTTACTGACGTATGGAGTATATATACTTACCTGAATAGTTTTTTAAATGCTAATATCTTTAACCCAAGAATTATCTTACATTTTTTGTTGTTTGTCTTTCTCGAATAGTCTTAACCAATTATGACGTAAAACATCATATAAAAGCACATTCAGTTTATCTTTTCAAACTCAACATTGCATGAGAAAGTCAGTAAGAGTGTGAAGATATAATAATAATAATAATAATAATAATAATAATAATAATAATAATAATAATAATAATAATATTGTGTTCAGAATTTAAATGATGGAAAATCAGTATATCAGAGCACACACGCCTGCATCTCCCAGTAATAATTTATGTATTATTCATTATACTAGTGCTACTGAATAATCTAGTGTTAGTTCGCACGCCACCTGTGTCACACCTGCCAATAAAGATTATTAGTACAGCTTCATTGACCGAAAATGACTTCATGAACAGGGATAAACGTTTAGTGTATAGAGTCACATGACATGAATCACTTTCATTTCTGCGTCCGAATATAATACATTTGACTATATTTAATCTAACCTGAAATACAACCTACTCTTCTGAAGTTTGATAGATTTCATATTACGATCACTTACATTGTAACTTTCACTATCTTTAAGCCACAAAATATTCAGTTTATACAATGTCGTCTTATATTAAACCTTGTAAGTGTTATGGTTATTGCTATAATTGTTGTCAGTCTTCTTCCACTACTCATTCTATTCATAAAATCTTTCTTTTGTCTTTGTGCTTACTGAAATTCCATTGCTTTCGGTGTGGTCAATAAATTACAGGACCTCATCCTCCTAGAAACTACTGGTTTTGCTTGTCTCTAAGTGATAACCAACAAGAAACTAATTGCTGTTCTATTTCTCATTTCTACATATTTTGTTTAATCGCTTATAAGCTTTGAATGTTGCGGTCATACCTGCTTACGCCTTTTACTGCCAACGGATCACAGGTTTAAAACCCACTTCACCTACCTTAGTTTGGGCCACCAATCCTCACACAATAAATGTGATTCATTGTTTAGTACACAAGCCTGTACGTGGTTGCTGAGTTACTTTTGCTTTCTGAATAAACATTGTCATGGATTATCACCAACTCATGTGATATGGTGAGCTCTATGGAGAGTGAGGATTACTGTCAAGCAGCTTGACTGTATTATGTCTTACAGAATTTAAGTCAATTTAAACTTAAAATCTATTGTAACTTTTGACTTCATTCGCATTCTGAAGAAAATAAATTAATCTTTTTTATTTCGTATTTGCTTGTTTATCAGCAAAGTAAAACAGTTTATTGAAAATTTCCATAAACCCGTTTGGAAACTACTAACTAATTTTTTGTGTACTTTTATCATGCTCAGTAAGTCGTAATGATTGTGATCCCACAGGATTTCGAAGACTTAATTTGGCTCGTCTAATTATGTTGTATACACGGAAATTTGAAATCACGGATCCAGAGAAAGCGCTTATGTACTATTATATGCTTTCTGATATCTCAAATCCTACTGGGAAACTACCGGAAGAAGAATCCAGTACAAATAAGCTTAGTTGTTCACACAACATGTCTTTTGATTATGTGGATTGTAAAGGTCAGAATTTGTTCGTTCAGTGCGTTTGTGAACTAGCCCTAGCCAGCAAAGAGGTAAGATATGATTGTTATTTCTGAACAAGTATTTTTTGGCGTAACTAAGTACTTTATAAGATTTTATATCATGTGGCTGGGATGAAACATGGCATCAGTCTATGAATTCTTTGACTGTTAGTTCGAGCCGATTAGAAAACTGTAGACTTCCCGGTTGGGGTCATCGTAAAAACAAGGATCGCTGGCTAGAGACTCTAGGTGATATGATTCGGGATGAATCTCAGTAGTGCCGGTGCATCTTCACTTTAATCGTCATACTGAATTGTATTGCTGTTTCCACGGCTTTCTCCTCTATTTCTTCATCTTTTATCTTGATGCATTCTCGCTTGATGTATTGGTATGAGATGCGGCAACGTGGATATTTACTCAGTAATGGTAGGTTTCTTGTTGGTACTGACTGATCAATATTGCGCTAGTGGGACTGGCTCACTGGTATAAGCAGTTAACTTTCAACCACTGGGTCATAGGTTCGAACCTCGCTTCACCTACTGAGGTTTCAGCAGCCAGGTAGTATCATTAGCCCTCATACAATAAGTGTCACTCATTGCCTACTGCACTAGGTTGCTGAGTGCATTTCGATTCGACTTTGTTGAATATTGTGCCAGTAACTCTCCAACACAATGTGCCAGGTTATCTCATAGTAAGACCACCACTTTTAGCAAGTTAATGCTACAAATTCTTCGCGTCTTTCAATAAAACGTGGTTAAAACGTTCATGTTAACTTTCTAAACAGTCGTTTTCATTGGCGTGACGGGGCAATCTATCCATATTCACTTGTTCGTGAGAAGTTTTTTTTATTGTCGACTGCAAATAAATTCTATCGCTTTTGTAGTAGAGCAAACATGTTTATGCATATGATTCATTATCCATCTTTTGTGTTTGATGCAGCGTATCTATCCCCTATGAAAGCTTATCTTTCGTGAGTATCATTGTAATGGTTTTGCCCTTAATCATGGTTTGCAACTGAATGCCAATGTTTAAACCCTTCGTATTTGACATCTATCAAGTCATATTCCTAAGTAACTTACTGAATAACTCTTTGAGCGATAATTATAGTACCTAACTGTCAAAACGTTGATACTGAAAGTGCTTCACAAATGCACCTCAATAGGTAGGTTCTTAAATCCACAGCTTCCTGCTTATAGACTACTTTAATTAATGTAACTTGAACCGATACATACATGCATTCTAGGCTATCAGCCACACTTGTTGTGTGATTAATTATTGTACTACCCAGTTGCCAAGCCGTAGTAAGTAGTGCGGTCCCTGGGATCTAATGCTTGATAGTAGAGTTCCAAAACCAAAGAACACAACGACACCCTGTCTATATGGAGGCGATTTAAAAGTTACATGATGTTGTAGATTCGTACGAATCACTTTTGTGTAACTTGATATTTATGCGGTTTTTTTCACTGCTTGTATACCCAGCCGATGACCCAATGAGCTACATTGACAGGAACGCTTTTTCCTTGAGGTCCTACTATACTAAAAAAGGTCTGTTGGATAGTGGCGAGACAGAAAGCAGTTACCTTTGTAATGCAAATTACTGCGTTGTTATGGAAGTTCGAGGGTTTAGTAGTACTACTGATTGGACAGGGTTTAAACGAAGTGGTATGTCTCATGGATGATCAGAAGTTCTACACTCATGCTGCCTTCCCTACCGGAAGGGAGGTTAGAAAGGGTCGACCCTAAAAGTTGAAACCTCACCGGCTAGCAGTCTTCCGGTGCTCTGTTGTTAAACAAGTCTTTCTTCTTTCAAGGACCCCTCATCTACAGTTCCCACAGCCAGGAAGTGGCAATCACTCACCTGCTCTCAGTGGTATACGAGATTCAATCAAACTTAACTTATCCTCCTTATATCTGTCCCCTCCCTTCACCTAATGACACAAGTATAAAACGTTTTACAAATTCTTAAACATTTTACTCTATGACTATCGCCAACAATCTGTCCCAGCGAAACATCATTCCTAGTCTGCTAAAACCATTGTCAGTTTCACATTGAATCCTTCAACTTCCGGATCCTATGCCAAATCAAACAACAGGTATCGCTCGTCAGAACTCTGGAATCTGGACCCATGGCTGTATGCTGTATTTCTGAGATACACATGCAAAACTCGAGTGCGGTTATTCACTTAACATCTTGTGGTCAGTGCGTTGAAATTCTCAAAACTCACAAGTGTCCGGAGATTTGATGGCTAGCTCTAGTTAACTCATTAGTATAGGCTTATCATCAGTTTGTAGTCCAGAAAGCATACTCCTGGATTGGATACCATTCGGTTGGCGTTTGTGTGCTGTTCCACTGAATGCATCTGTAAAAACTGGGAAGAATCATGTGAAAAGCTGATGCCTATTCATAATCTCCGTCTCCGCACCACTGATTGCGGTTCGGATAATGCAAAGGATGAATTTTATGCGAAGCTGTCAAACTTGCTACAGAAAGCAAAACGTTCAGATGTAGTCATAATGGGAGCTGAGCCAATCGGAAAGGCATCTTGAAGGTATCTACGGAATCCCATGCTAACAAATTGACAACGGTGTTCGTCTGTTGCAATTTTGTTTCGACAATCACTTGTTTCTAACCAGCACTAACTTTAAATATAAGGAGAGACACTGTCTCACATGGCGTCTTCCGACATCGAACCAACGATGGACACAGGTAGATCACATTGCATAAGCCATCGTTGGAGAGTATTGATGAATGACTATCGATCTTTCTGAAGTTTGTTTATACCTGCGCTTCACTCGTTGCAGAAAAGAGACAGTAGTCATGCCTTTGGAGGCTAAATTGGAGGATGGAAACTTCAAGTAAGTATTTGAGGAGGAAAGGGTTAAGCATGTATCTGAACGTGATGGCAGTCCTCATCCTGAGGAAACCTGGCGTGATATTAAAACTGCTGCAGTGAAGACAGTCGGTAACCTATATCTCAAGGTTACCCAGCGTCGATGTATTTCCGTGACTTAATCCGAACTGATTGATGCGAGCAGACTAATTCCAGCTGGCTGTGACCACAATGAAGAATGAAAGCAACTTATGGGTAAATTGGAGAGTCTTCACAACAATCTTGAGAGCAAGACATATGGAGAAGAAATCAGTATCAGGTAATATTCGACAACTATTTAGGCTCATTGAGGATACTGGCTAGAGGAGAACGATGGTAAGTGAAACCATCACCGACAAAGATGGTGTGCTGATAACCTCTCATGCCAGGCGGCGGAATACTTTGAAGCACAGACCAGCTAGCCCACGACAACGCTTCTGTTGACCAACATCCAGTCGAACCTAAATACGATATGGGTGTCTGTTACCCATTTGTCATGAAAAATGAGAAAGCTATTTCGAACCCGAAACGGTTCCCCATCCAAAGTTTTTCAGAATGGCGGTAGTAAACTACCGATTAGATTGACGGAGTTGGTATATGGGAATCAGAGGCAGTCCAGTCAGACTGATGTACTTCACAGATCATTGTAGTCTATAAGGAAGGAGAGAAGTCGTGTTATAGTCAGTTTAATATCGTGTCCAAGATTCTAGGATCCATAGTTATCCGATGCCTAAGTGGAGCTCGAGAACGACAAACTCGAGAAAACCAGGCAGGTTTCAGACCTGGACGAGGGTGCATCGATCAGATTTTCACTACATGACAAGTTCTGGAACGCATACATGCTTACCGGTGGCCAACATTTGCCATATTTTTTGACTTGGAGGTGTCATCTCTATCTACCGTGTGTAACTGAAAATGAGTCCCTAGCAAGCATATGACGCTGATCAAAACTCTCTACTCAAAGTTATGCAACCGTGTAAGGACTTATGAAGGTTTGTCCTCTTAATTGACAACAACGAGTGGCGTCTGTTAGTGATGTTCGGTGTCACCGCTCCTATTTAACTTGGTTATAGGTGTAATAATGAACATAAACATAGGTACATCTGACTTCACAGGGATTGATCTACTTCCTGGAGGGATGGGGTTGACTTGAATTACACTGACAGTATTGTCCTGCTAGGTGAAGATGCTGACAAAATGTTGGGTCTTCTGAAGGCTTTGGGGTGCTTCTCGCACCTGTCAAATGTGATAACTTAAACGGGTGCACGTATGTGAGAGGTTCTGCATTTTGTCTGTCTGTTTCACTACTTATGGTGAACTCTCCATAGATGTAATTAGGTGTTGAATCATTACCATAAAACGGAGTTCGCGTATTCAGCACTGAATTAGTATGACTTGTTAATTTCACTATTTTGAAAACCTTAGTGTTTAAAAGTAACCATGGACAGTAACTGAAAGTGGATAATTTCTCTTGGATGGCGTGAAAAAGTCGAAATGCATTCAGCCTTCTCGTAGTACGCAATAAGTCACAACGTCCGTTTCGAGACCACCTGACTGTTACGAACTCAATAGCTAAAGTAGGATTCCGATCAACTAACCAAAATTTTAAAACCAAAACCTGCACATATTTATCCGGTAACGCGTATGTATGGCAACTCCTGTATTGGTAGTTGCAACCACCCGGTTGCCAGGTGAGCGAATTTGTTGCTAAAGCGACCACGGCTAATATACATAACTGTTAAACCCTAGCAACTGTACTTCATTGTCTGGTATTTGATTGTATGCTGTGACTAGACTTCAGATTTTACTTCATCTTTCCTATTCACTTCAGGAAAAATCAAGGTTTAGTACCTAAGTATTTTGTCGAAATAAATATTCAATAAGATCCAATGCTTTTCGGACTTCAAATTATTTTTTGTTTTTGGAATTTTGACCATAGTTGTTTTTTCGTATATGTCGATCTTAATAAATAATCCCTATTTTATTTTTTAATTGTTACAGCTAGATTTGCTTTTAGGGTGTTTGGGTGAAAACGATGTTCGCAAAGTGAGTTTTTTTCTCTTTTATAGAGCAAGTTTAGTTTATTAATAATTAAGCTCGTTATGCTTCACTTGCCAATTAACTGGTTTCATCTAGTGGGTGTCTTTTGACGAATAACTGCTTTCAAGGATGACCAAATTTTTGACTTGATAACAATATCTTACTAATTGAATCGTGGTTAATAGTTGATTTCAGGTTTTCGCATTGAGTCAAAAGGAGGCTTTTAGTATTATGATGTGGAATCGATCACAGTGGTGTGGATGTATGCACCATATCATCATTTGATACGTCTGTGTACCGTCTCTGACTGGTATGTGATGGGTATTTCACATACCAATCTTCCGCCTACTTTGTCGTGCGATGTTAGCCAAAAAGGCTTAGCGTATTCACACCACGATGTAGCATCAGTTCATGAAATCCTTTGACTGCTGATCCGAAACTTTTCGGGGAATATAGGTGTAGGCTCCGTTTTTAAAGTCATCAAGGCGATAGAAACCAATGTTTAGAGAATATTGGTGAAAAGGCCCAAAATCAATCATAGTGGCGTAGATGTACGCACTCTATCGTCTCTGAAGTCACAAATGTTTTCAGTAACCTTCATCGATTTATTCTTTCTCCTGTCACATTTTTGTCAAGTATTATGACGTTCTTTTTTATCTACATCTTGTTTGCATGCTGTTATGCAGTGTGACAACTTATGTGGCAGTTCCTGCATGCATTCATCTACTTGTGCTAGGGACCTATCCGACATGCATGCATTGTTTCAAATATGAGAACGATATTTCACTAGCTAGTAAGTTGCACAGAAATCTTAGTTACTTCGGTAGTTGCGTAATAGATATAATAATAGAATGACTACACCTTCTTGCACACTAGATGGTTTAAGTAGTTGAAAATGTGATACAAGAAAAGCTTCACTTGCAATAAAAAATCATCTGAAAGCATGTCTTTAAAAGCATTGTGCTCACTAGAAAATCGTATCAGTATTTCCGATACTGTTCCCTAACCCTGCAACTGGTTGGACGGAGTGGAGATGTGACCAGCGTATAACGTGGTGCGGGGGGGAGGGTGGAGTGATGGGTAGTTGTGTTCGATCAGCGTCTTTTGGCACCTCCTGAATAAAGTCACAGAGATCAGTGATAATGGATGTGGCTCAGAATCGAACCCAGTAGCGATCACGCCTTGTCTTTCTTCTGTTATTGAAAAGTAAAGCGAACGCAATGAATGCTTCTTTAAGAACTAATATCTAGTTCGCTTGTGTCCTTTTTAATTTCTGTCCCTGTTAGTCACTTACGTGTTCCCAATGCTGTAATATTATTTTGTATTGTGCAATTTCGGTGCCTGTTTTACATTGTTTGTTTTTTGAACGAACAAACAACCAGTACAGGCTTTCAGCGCAGTTATAACTATTTCTCTAACTCGTCATCAGAATTGACGATAACGGGTAGTGTCCGTCGAGGATGCCCACTGTTCGTGTTCAACTTCGTTATAGGCGTACTAACTGACAAGACTTTATGTACTTCTGACCTCACAACGTTTGATGTACTCCCTAGATGAAGAAGGTCTGGCTTGGAATACGCAGACAGTATTGTTCTGTTGAGTGAAGATGCTGACAAAGTGTTTAATGATAGGTAGTGAAGTGGTAGGATGTGTCGACAACTTCACTTATTTAATGAGTTGCATCAGTTTGGCATTTGCCAACTCGGATCATCTGTGGAGCCAAATGGCGGGATATCCCGTTGTCTATCAAAAGACGAATGTACTCCACTGCAGTCCGTTCCGTCCTGATGTACGGCCGAGACATAGCCATTAAAAGTAAGACAAACGGCGGTTAATAGGGTTTTGATCACAGGCGTCTCCACAGCATGGGTTGTGTTTGGTGGAATCAGCGTGTGAGCAATGTTTAGATCAGGCGAAGGGTACTAGGCAAGAGAGACAAGTCGATTGATGAGGTTGTGAATCTTAGTCGACTGAGATGGCTTTGGTATTTGTTTTACATGCCGAGCCACCGCTTACCTCGACATACTATGCTGAGGAAAGTTGAAGAGCGTTCAGGATGGCCAGATCAAGACGTGGCGCCACTGCATGAAGCCTCTAACTGTTGGCATGAGCCACTATCTGGTTGGGTCCGCGAGATCATGACATGACTGGAGAGTCGGCCACAATGGCGCAGATTCATTCACCACATGATGTCTTCGGAAGCTGGAGTATTTGCACTGACCGTTATCTTCAGATTGTTTCTTCTCTCACAGAACGTTGTCTACTTTAATATGAGTCTTTCCTTTGCACTTGGTCTTTGCATACTACTATGAAGTGTGGCAACTAAAGCTGGTGCAGCTGTGAGAGAGGCTCTACTTTGATTTTTTCTGTGCGCTAACCAGGTGTGGACTCAGACTAATTGTATGGATATAGCTACCAATGGCATGGTTGTTTAAAGGGTTGTCGCATCTTCTGATGCCCATGTTTGAACTCTGTTCAGGTTTTACTAAGTGGTTATTTTGTGTCGTGGTGATAATCAAGATCATGCTCCCAAACAGTTCAACGTAAAGAAGTCTGTGGCACAGAACACTTGGTGCATGAAGATTTCCGATATCAATCAGTGACTTTAAGTAGACATAAAGTATGTTTAGGCCACCTGCACGATCAGACTTTGCTGAAGCAAGAACCGTAAAGGGTAGTAGTCACACCAGGCAAACGAGATTTTGTAAGTAGTTACATATAAGGATACAGAGACGTGCTGTAGCCCATCGCAGCTATGTACAGAAAGAAATCTGGCGTCGGTTAGATGGAGTGTGAACCTGATGGTATCAAAATGTTCCTTTTTCCTTTAAATCATATATATTTTAATTATTTCTTCATACGTCGAGTAATATTCACTTTAAATGTCGGTTTTGTAGCCTGGCGCTATCGACCGCTATTGCAAATCAACAGAATCCCGACGGGAACTAATTCGCACAGTTGCTCATGTCTTCGAAAACAGTGGTCAAGTCATCGAGGCTGTCCGTTTATATCTGCTCGCTTCATCTTATGGAGATCCTAAGCCTGACATACTAGTAGCTGTGGCTTTATTGAATACTGTGTTATCAAGTGTGATAATAACGTCTGATCTTGGGACAACACCATTGACACAATCTCGATTAGCAGGACAGCTAGATCGGAGTATGCTTTTACGTCTTGCAAGTGAGGTATGAAGATTTTTCATCAACTTGCATATGATCATTTTACTAACATCATTGGATTCTGCCTTCAATGTTGGTAATCACCTTACCGTGCAAAAATAGCTAAGATTCTCGCATGATAAGATTTTTTCCTGTTGGAAACTATTTGCACGCTGCTGACAGCTCGTCAAGGTAGTACCTGAATTTTGAAAATTGTTGAGCGAGACTTTATGTCGTGCATCTTGTGGGTAACCACTAGTCAGGTTTCACTCAGTTTATTAATACTCCATGAAGCCAACCAAGCACGTTCGTGCTCACCAATAAACACCTTTGTGTTAAAGTGCCATAAAGTACTTTTCTTAGCATGACATGCGTCCTACATACATATATATATAAACTCGCTCTACTTTATTGAAGGGGTTAATCAAATCCCATACCTTTTTGGACGACGCTCCTAACGGCGTATTGCTGCGTTTACTGGTATATCTTCCGAAACAAAGATGCAGAACCCTTCCGGAAACGTACCTGATAAATGTTCGTTAAGCCTGATCCACTGAAGAGCTAACATCGGTTACGCTGTCAGGACATTCAGAATACAATGTTCACAGCCATGAAAACAGATGCCGTAGTTCAACTACATGCATATATATCGTGTTGCTTCATAACTGTGAAAATGCTTAGGGTATGTGGACCACCGTTCCCTGTAAATTTTACTGAGTTTACTACATAGGTAGACTAGATAGTGTGCCGACTGTAGATATGTCATGGTCAATAGGTCCAATCACACTTTACTAATGAATTGCAGACAATAATGGGCATATTGGATGTAATCCAGTGAACATTAGCCTTATGAATTCAGAATCCAAGCAGCTGCTTCTGTCTAGTAAAAAAAGAACAACAATTTCTGCAAATATTCTTGTTTCATAGTTAACAAGGCAACGAAATATAAAGGTATATTCTGGGGTACTTTTTGTTCCTGATGGGGATCGACTATACGGTAAGTTCTTATTTAGAAGAATACACAAAGTAATAAGTTTATTTCTACGAGAAAGATGTTTGTGGTATATAATCAAAGCTCTACTTCCAATATTTTTATCAATTACTTTCACTTTGGAATAAAGGTGATCAACTTTTTTCTTGCCAAAATAGCTCGCTCATAAAGTTCGCCGATTGGGAATATCAACTGATGATAATGATTACCTACTTCAACGTGACGTTGAAACAGACGTAACTGGGTCCACATGGACAACCAAAATCCTATTTATCTGCTTGATCTTGCTGCGTTTTCGACCTAGTGGATGCGGAAAGGTGGCAGGCTGCTATTGACCATATGGATCAGCTGGGTTTATTCCCATCTAGCTCCCAACCTTCACACGTAGAATCTTGTGTCGCACTGTTTTCTCAACTCCCAGATACAGTTCGGCGACCGCTCCCTGGGCATTGTATGCTCTGATGCGTTGTTTATCTGCAAAGACTGGTCGAGGAGTGTCTGCCACGAGGTCAGTTTATTTTTTTTGAAGAGATGGATTCACATTATGTAAAATATCTATCTGTTTCAGAAAGTGCCATTACCAACTGTTTACCTTTTTCAGCTGTGCAGCGCGAACTGATGTTTACCTCGAAAATGGCTACCCCGGAAGTTCGAGCTAGAGCGAAGGCTTTGATAGCGTATGTTGGTCGCATTCCACACAGATTACCAAGTGAAATTTATGCCGGTCTAACACGTATGGATATGGAAATTATGTAGTTCATTACTGTCATTTTTGAAAGTATTTATCCGAATGTTTATTTTGTGTAAATCCTACGGAGAAAAAATAAAACGCTTCCACTCAAGCCTATTTTACTGCATTGCTTAAAAAAACTTGTAGAACATAGTATCGAGCCTACGTGGTTGTCAACCGTTTCTGTTTTGGTAGGGGGGGGGGGAGGGGATGGAGGTCTAGTAGGAATTCACTACATCGTTATGGCGATCCTGATAACGAAGAGGAATTTTGATGACACTACCGCACACAATAAAGCTGAAGCACTTGAGGCTAATTAAGATTTACACATCAAATCATAACGCATACGTAGTGTGCCCGAACAAGAATTCACAAGGCCCTGAGAAATCTCAATAGCTATATTTCGTTACGAATCGAATTACGCGTACTATTTTCCATATAACACTTACCAAGTCATTTTTCAAGAAGTATGTGCAGAAATTGAACAAAAGCAGAGAATTACAAGGGTTACTAAAATTTTTTATGAGTAAAAAAGTCACACATTTAGACGAGTCGAGGAGATAAAAACCAATATTGTTAAGCGACACTGGCAAGCTGATGAAAGAACAGGTGTGTATATGTATATGTACAGAAAATGTAAAGGTCTAGGGTTAAGAGAAGAAGACAATTTCTATATTCAAACTTCTACCATAAGGTCCAAAATTCACAGGAGGCACTTACAAATGAAGTGCAATACAAACACTGTGACAATGGCTTTTTCGTACACATACTAGTAACTCGAAAAGTAAACTAGGTAAGCACAAAGTAATAAATACAGCAGTTGGAAACAGTAGATACATTGGAAGTAAACTGAGCAAGCACGAAGTGGTACACATGGCAGTCAAACAGTAGACACATTAAAAGGCACATTCCATTAATATACGATCTCAGTACTTGAAAATCCAAGACTATTGCACGCAACTAGACGCTAAGTTAGCGACGTGCTGGACCGATAGCGGTGTTAAGTGGAGTTGTAGACCGTGAGAAAACATTGTCTACATGATTTAAATGTAAACGAGTTACATTGGTAAAGTTCTGGGGATGGGTTACCGATCGAGAATGGATATTATTGTTGACAGTTTGTCGGGAAGTAGGTTCAGGTTTTGAATGAGAAAGTTGCTCTGGACGAGTTATTGAAGATGGAGGTATTTGTTGAACTCGACGATGGTAGAACGCACCTTTAGATTCCATGTACCTTTTAACATAAGTAGTAACTCTCGATCGAACACTGGAGGAAGTTCAGGCGTAAGAACTGTTGAAAACAAGGAAGTATTCGCTGCCTGAGTTTGATGAAACTTCTGAATCTCTTTAAGAATTACAGCTTGTGCTAACTGAAATGGAAAATGAGTAACGTATTGAAATCATTAGGTAAAAGTTTGCAACTAGTCTAGTTTATGATAGGTTACCATCATGCTCCCAAATTCCGGGTTATTTACGAACGCAAAGTCGTACTAGTTTATCCACAATAAATAAGCACTGAATAAAATACTGCATTCGGCAAACTGGTGCAGGCTTAGGCACTAGGCTATGAACTACACTCACTGTAAGAAAGTTTATGCTACTACCCAGTTGCTCAGATCAAAAGTAGAGCAAGGTTTGAACTTGAAAATTCATAATGGAAAGGCAGTTAGTCATACCTCAAGATATACCGCTTTTGTGGAATTGTCTGAAAATAAACAACTGGTCATCTTACAATTGTTAAGATCAGTGGTATTTATAGAAAATGCAAAAGGATTACCTTCTTTGTTAAGTAGTATAAGTCTTCATCGTTAACTATACGACCAATTTTGCACCGAGCATCACGAAAGTCGCGTAGTGTATTGTGAACAAGAGTGAATAGCTGAAATCCAAACATTGGGACATAAATTGATTGCTATGTTACTTTAAGTCTTTTGAAATAAGTAGATAAACCAAAAAAATGTTTATTACGTACCAGATTTAATGCAAAAGTACTGTCATTTTGTTTATTGATTTTGTTTGTGTAGAGTTTGTATGCCATGAGAAAAAAAATCAAAACTATCCTTCAGGCTATAAGTTTTATTTCAGCCGGAAAACAATTCCTGCACTCTTACTATGTAGTTCAAGAACCTCATTAGTTGCCTATATGTACATTATATACTAGATTACTGGGAGCACTCATCGATTAAAGAGTGAAGTAGTATCTGAATTCCTTAACACTCACAAAGACAACTACTAACAAAATCTGTGAAATCTCTTGCGAATCTAAGTAACCATTAATATGAGCTAATAATATGTGATGCCTAACTTGAATGTGGATAAGACTGAAAACTCCTTGACTAGTTAAATTTTTCGTTCCAAATTAATGTGAAGTTATATAAACGAAGACATTAAAAAGTGGAAACTAACCTCAATAGCAAAACCTTGTTCAGCTACATCCTGGGAGCATCTGGTCTACCTGCCAGTTCATGCAAAAGATCAATACATTGACGTTCAAGAATTCGCTGACGCACACGATTGTACATCTGTAGGTGTGGGAATGATTCGTGTTAGAAACCAAAAAGATTGAAAATTTTTGTGAACAGAATAGTAAATTAGGTTATACCGGGAGTATTTTCCGAAAATGAAGACAAGCGTCAGATTAGTAGTATGAATAAATATCTTAAAATCCACTAAGAATGTGCATTTGAGGTTCTAAAGCCACAATAAACAAAATTTTTATGACTTCGAAATTATGACTGCGATTTGAAGTCTAGGCAACCGATAGAAAAACAGCAGAAGCCAATGTTTTAACCAAAAAATCTACTTTAACAGACTTCAAAAAGACTAGTACAACTGCAGCAAAACAACACAAGATAGTTTAACAATCTGAGATAGCTCTGGCTTGGTAGACTTTTATAGATACCGCGTCTCGTAACTCAGTTGGTAGAGCACCAGGTCGGAAACCTGGTGTCGACGGTTCGAATCCTGCCACGGCCAAAATGTTCATTTCACCTTCAATCATCGCCTAGTATCAGTACAAGTTTGCCAAACCACAGATATTTCAGGTAGTCAAACTTACAACCAACACAGTGTTCCCCCTCTCTAATTCACGTAGATTTGGATTCCGATAAAAAGTTCTGACTGACGAGCAAGCCAGTGTGAGTGCGACCAAACGATAGTAACGCGTCACCAATCCACGTGGCAGTCGGGCAAAACCCTTGGTGATTAAAGTAAAATAGAAAACTCTGGCCAGTAGTTAGGTCACGTAGCTCAGCTAATACAGCACCAGGCGGGAAATACGGTGGTGGCTTCGGTTCTGCGGGGACTCAAAGTCTCATTACAACATCAATCATCACACAGTATAAACACATGAAAAATCAAAGGAAAATAAGCATAAACAAACAAAATGGAGACACCACATAACAGTCCAATTTGATAAACATTATATCAGCACCTAACGAAGAAAAATAGAATTAAACAATAAATCACCAAAACCAGAAAAAAGAGGACAAGGAAAACAACGTAAAAAAAAGCACTAACACGATTAAATGTAAATGAAGCACAGATCCATCAACAACATCATCTCTCAAAACACGACTAGCCATTACTGCGTAACAGTTCAAGTTGCCACAGCTCATATCACCATATCAAGTAAAAAAGCAGTCAAGTGAGAGATGAAGGGGAAAAAAATTCAGTCAAAAGAAATATAAAGTACGAAAAGAGAGAAAGGAAGAATGAGAAAATGGTGAGATTCGGTATAGCGTCGTTGAGATGAGGATAATGTGTGTATATATCTGCGCCACTGACATCGGTTCTCAGCCATGTCATCACCTAGAGTCTCCAACCACTGGCTTTCTCTGTCCCGCGGACCCCAATCACCCAGTCTGCATCACCCCTCATACACGGCCCAAACCAACAGTCAAACACTTCATACGTCGAGACCATGTTTTAGTCTGACCACATCGGGCCTTTTTCCAGCCTGAAACTACTTCAACCAACATTGTGTGATGAGGTAATCGGCGACTAGGCATACGTAACACGTCCCCAACCATCTCAGTCGACGAAGGTACACAACCTCGTCAGCTGACTCACCTCTTCTCCCTAAAACTCTACTCCTGACTTCTGCGTCACTCACCTGATGACACCACCGAATACGGCCTATACTACGAAGGCAACAGTGGTCAAACACCTGAAGCCTTCTCATGTCTTTCTCCACCTTCAATGGCCATGTTTCACAGTCATACAGTAGAACAGACCGGATTGCTGTGCAGTACATGCGACCCTTAATAGACAATCGGATATCACGGCGGCGCCACAGGTGGCGTAAGTTGGCGAAAGTCAATCAAGCCTTTTGTATTCGTGCAGAAATTTCATCGACCACTGAGCCACAAGGGCTGGGCTGGTCCTACTTCCCAGGTAAGTGAAGTGGTAGACACACTCAATCACTACACTCTGTTGTTAGCCATGGCACCGTTGAAGACCAATCCTGGAGCAACAATTTGCATTTGGGTGGCGAGAAACGCATCCCAAACATTCTCAAATTGCCACTCAGTGTCCAGAAGATTCTGCATCTTGTCAGAGTCTTCACCAAACAGGACTATGTCATCTGCATATTCTAGGTCTAACGAAAATTCTCCTGCGATTAGGTCAAACTCTGTGTAGTCAGGTGATGAGAGGGAGACAGACCTCTATAAAAATATCTATGACAAAATTGAATAAGAATAGAGACAATGGGCACCCTTGAAGGACACCGCTCGACGAGTACAGCTACCTGGACATCTCACCATAGGCTCTAGCATGCCCGCAAGTGTTCGAGTAGAAACCTTCAATAAGGTGGTGTACTTACTCGACACATCTTTCAGTGAGAGACATTGCCATAAAACTTCTCGACCAACGGAGTCGAATACCGCCACCTTCAGGTCGAGAAATACAGCTAGTGTCAGGCATCGGTAAGTGTGCCTATGTTCCAGGACCTGATGCAGGGTGAATATTTGGCCAATACACCCGCGGTCGGGTCTAAACCGTGTATGGTTTTCTCGGGCTCGCTGTTCCCGAGCTCCACTCAGGCGTCGGAGAATTATGGGACCTAGAATCTTAGACACTATGTTCGTCAGGCTGATTCCTCTATGGTTATCACAAGAGGACTTTTCGCCTTTCTTGAGGACTGGGATAATCAGTGATTTAGACCAGTCAGAGGCTATCATATCTGATTCCCATATACTGGTTAACACTTCCGTTAACCTGACTAAGAACACTCTACCACCACCCTTGTATACCTCAGGAGTTAGTCCGTCTGGTCCTGCTGCCCTTCCTCGTTTCAGGTTACCCACAGCTTTCTCGACTTCTGCTAGTGTTGGAGAGCCTATTTCAATGTTCCATTCACGATTCGATTGGATAGCGAGCAACGCAGTGGTGGCAAGAGGCCAGTTAAACTCTTCCTAGAAGTGTTTTGTCTATCGTCACAGTCGTCTCACCTGCGGGTGAATTGCAGATCCGTCTTCCTCCACTATAGCCTCACTAACTGTTGTTGACCTTTCCAACCAGTTTTCTTAACAAGTCTAAATAACTGTCTACTGTTACCAATCGCCACCGCCTTTTCCATCTCTTTAGCCTTCGTTGCCCACCACTGTTCGCAGTCGTTGCGAAGACTTTTTCTCAATCTACTTTTAAGTTGTGCTCGCTCTTCATTGTACTCAGAGCTTGCAGAGATGCGTTCACGTGCATCCATTAGTTCGGAAAAAGCTGCTGATATCCACCGGCTCTTTTTAGCCACTATTTCGGAGTCGGCTACGGTCTTCAGTGCTGCTTTTACAGCAGACTGGAGATGGCACCAAGCTTCTTCTGCATGAGTGATAGTGTTCTGTTCCGATAACTGCCTAGTCAGTTTTTCACTGAACACGGCTTTGATGTTTTCGTTGTTGAGATGCACTCGTAATGATTTATGGAGCGTAGTTTAAACTACGCTCCAAATGGATTCATGCGCACCTCTGACATCAATGAAAAGTAATGAACCACTGGTTTCTGCTGTTACCGACGAGAAAGTCGAGATACTGTTAATCAATTAGGATCTGTAAATATAGACATAAACTAATGTCACCAACATTTTTCCAGTTTAAACCTTCATCAAAAAAGTAGAACATGGCACCTGAGTGCATGGAAGCTTACAACCTGATTTACTGACTTATCTTTTACTAAAATTGTACACCTGACATTTACGTTACTAAAGTGGTGGGATCACAGCACGGCCTGAGCTACGAAGGCAAAGGTGATCGAACACTCGAAGCCTTCGTATGTCTTTCAATAGCCCTGTTCTTCAGCTATTTAACAACAGAGCGGTCTGTTTAGCAATCAGTTAGACCAGAATAGGCAATTCGATATAAGCCAGCGCATTGGTGTGAGTTGATAAACTGCACGTGATTTTTTTGGGTACTGATCCAAAAGAGTTGATTCAAATTTCCATTAAAGTGATGCGGAAAACGTAGACTAAATTTGCGATTAGACTTCTTGTAATGTTAAACGATGAAAATGTGGAGGGAGTGGAAATCCTCGACGTACACCACCGTGCACATAACTGGCCTAACAGCACACCAAAGACAAACACGCCGACGATCGTTACGATAAAGACCCACCAACCTACTGATGGGCATAGTGAAAACACCTTTCAGTGAAGGATACTACAAGAATACCATTTGACTGACAGCAATGAATTTCACCATTTAATGCACAGAAATGCACCCATCGTCAACAATCCGAAAGCTACACCCCGCTCCGGAGCCGGATGAAGTGTGAATACCTTATCCATACACAAACCACTAATTCCATAACCTGCCTGAGTTCTTCTACTCTTCTGTTTCAGATCTTTAATGGTTGTAAAACCTACGATCTTAGATACAATATTCGTCTGACTCATTTCAAGTGCATTTCACAGGACCATTTCTTTTTTTTGAAACTGGGGTAACAAACCATTAAGACAGGTGCAATGAGACCACATTTGATTCTCTCACGACAACTAACACTTCCATTAGTCTCATCAATAGCTTTTGACCAGTGCGTAAGCAGAGATAACAAAAAACAACGGTGTTCACAAGACTCAACATTTTGTCAGCACCTTCACTCATCAAGACAATACCGTCTGCGTAATCCAAGTCAATCAGATAACCTCCAGGGAGTAGGTCAACCTCTGTGAAGCTAGAGGTACCTGTTTATGTCCACTTTGTTATAGGTGTCATAGTGATGACACCTATAACAAAGTTGAACACAAACGGTGAACAGCGGGCATCACTGACAGACAGCTGGAATCAGTCTTTTCGCATCAATCAGTTTGGATTACGTCACGGAAATACATTTATGTTTGCTAACCTTGGGATGTAGGTTACCAATTTTCTTCACGGCTGTTTCTATAGCAGACCTAATATCAAACCAGGTTTCCTCACGAACAGCATTGGTGTTACGTTCTGATAGATGCCTACCTATCTTTGACCAAAATACGTACTTCACGCTGTTATCTTCCAATCAAGTACATGCAGGGGTTACTGATACCTGTTTTCCACCACCTGTAAAGCCAAGATACACACATAACCGTGCTCCAGAAAGAGCGGCAATCCCCCAGTCATCCAATCAAATGCTGGTTTGTAATAATATCATCTATGTGTGTTCACAGTTGGCTTGATGTCAGCGGATGCCATGTGGGACTGTCTCTCCTTATGCTTGAAGTTAGTGCTGGGCAGAAACAAATGATTGTCAGAACGAAACTGCAACAGATGGTCAACGTTGTCGGTTCGTTGGCATGGGATTCTATAGATACCTCCAAGGTCGCACTTTACCTTCATGAAGTCTGAGGTCTAAGTTTGATAGTTTCGAATCCGACTATGATTTCTACATCGCTGGCACTGGTAGGCCTCTGGGTATAGGGGAGTGTGCTGTTTTTGGGCCCGACCTCTAACCCCCTCTTCCCGCCGGAAAGACAGCAACCAACATGGTACTACTGATCATCCTCAGCAAACACCCTATTGCTATTGCATCCCCGCCAGTCAGCTGTACAACTTCGCCCTCAGACCGAAATCATAGCCTAGCAATGAACGCTATAACAGTAACTGCTTTTCATTTTACCACTATCCAACAGACTTTTGTGGCATGGTAGGACCTCAGTGGAACAAGCGTTCCAAGAAAAGTCGTTTAGTGGGTCATTGGGATATGCAAATCTGACCATCACACCAAGGGAGAAAGAATCGGTGGATATGAAAAGCAGTCTGGGAATCCTACGTTTCACTCAAAAAAAATAATTTTAACACGGTTCAATAACATATCCAGACTAAGTTCAATGAAGACTAGAATCAGTATTTTAAAAACCCGGATGTCCACTCAACAACAATCATGAAAAGATTAAAACTCCATGTTCACATTAATGTATAACAAGTGCAGTTTATGAATAACGTGATATCAGCACTTACAGCTTCGATTTCTTCGTGCGTGACAGCGAATCTCGATGCACAACCCCAATTATAAGGAGCTTCTGGGTCGTCTTCTCCAGTTTCACCCAAAAGTGTATCAGTTGGATCCGCATCCCATGGATACACGGGAGGGTCCCAACGAGTTTGACGGGTGCGAACATGGTAGTAGTAGTAAGCATATGTGCCAGAACTATCTGCGGAATCTTGGCTTTCTGTAGAGCGTTTGGTGTTTGGAGCTCTTTGCCAACCAGGAGGCAACGGGCTTGTGCCATCTTTGGATAAGTGCAAGTGCAAAGCAGGTAACGGTAGTCTTTCGACTGGCTGAGCCCGCCTGCGTTGCCTTAGCTGAGCACAGCGATCCTACAGAAATCCATCACAATATACATAGCCTTTAAACTTAACTGTACACAAAACACGTCACATGAAAAGTACTAATAACAAAATGACACCTGCTTTGTGCTAACGTTATTGATATCGCAACTGCAAAATTCGCCTCACAATTTGGTTAAAAGAATAAAGAAATAAAAATTTTCCCAGTTTAAATAGAACGTTATTTTGAAACTATACAGCAGCTAACCTAAAGATGAGAATAAAATAATTCATAATGTTCAATGAGCAAATTATTTTCTAGAGGGCTAAATGAATGTTTCTATTTAACTTTATCAATTCAAACCACCAACTGAAGCGAAAACCATACATTCTTATCAAATAACAATAAAGCTTAGTACGACCTATTACTACTTATTATTTCCAAAAGCCCTACGCTAACGTTATAAAGTTGACCGATTGTACTGAGCATGTCATCACTACAGTCATCATCAATATCAACACACGACTAGCCATTACTGCGTAACAGTTCAAGTTGCCACAGCTCATATCACCATATCAAGTAAAAAAGCAGTCAAGTGAGAGATGAAGGGGAAAAAAATTCAGTCAAAAGAAATATAAAGTACGAAAAGAGAGAAAGGAAGAATGAGAAAATGGTGAGATTCGGTATAGCGTCGTTGAGATGAGGATAATGTGTGTATATATCTGCGCCACTGACATCGGTTCTCAGCCATGTCATCACCTAGAGTCTCCAACCACTGGCTTTCTCTGTCCCGCGGACCCCAATCACCCAGTCTGCATCACCCCTCATACACGGCCCAAACCAACAGTCAAACACTTCATACGTCGAGACCATGTTTTAGTCTGACCACATCGGGCCTTTTTCCAGCCTGAAACTACTTCAACCAACATTGTGTGATGAGGTAATCGGCGACTAGGCATACGTAACACGTCCCCAACCATCTCAGTCGACGAAGGTACACAACCTCGTCAGCTGACTCACCTCTTCTCCCTAAAACTCTACTCCTGACTTCTGCGTCACTCACCTGATGACACCACCGAATACGGCCTATACTACGAAGGCAACAGTGGTCAAACACCTGAAGCCTTCTCATGTCTTTCTCCACCTTCAATGGCCATGTTTCACAGTCATACAGTAGAACAGACCGGATTGCTGTGCAGTACATGCGACCCTTAATAGACAATCGGATATCACGGCGGCGCCACAGGTGGCGTAAGTTGGCGAAAGTCAATCAAGCCTTTTGTATTCGTGCAGAAATTTCATCGACCACTGAGCCACAAGGGCTGGGCTGGTCCTACTTCCCAGGTAAGTGAAGTGGTAGACACACTCAATCACTACACTCTGTTGTTAGCCATGGCACCGTTGAAGACCAATCCTGGAGCAACAATTTGCATTTGGGTGGCGAGAAACGCATCCCAAACATTCTCAAATTGCCACTCAGTGTCCAGAAGATTCTGCATCTTGTCAGAGTCTTCACCAAACAGGACTATGTCATCTGCATATTCTAGGTCTAACGAAAATTCTCCTGCGATTAGGTCAAACTCTGTGTAGTCAGGTGATGAGAGGGAGACAGACCTCTATAAAAATATCTATGACAAAATTGAATAAGAATAGAGACAATGGGCACCCTTGAAGGACACCGCTCGACGAGTACAGCTACCTGGACATCTCACCATAGGCTCTAGCATGCCCGCAAGTGTTCGAGTAGAAACCTTCAATAAGGTGGTGTACTTACTCGACACATCTTTCAGTGAGAGACATTGCCATAAAACTTCTCGACCAACGGAGTCGAATACCGCCACCTTCAGGTCGAGAAATACAGCTAGTGTCAGGCATCGGTAAGTGTGCCTATGTTCCAGGACCTGATGCAGGGTGAATATTTGGCCAATACACCCGCGGTCGGGTCTAAACCGTGTATGGTTTTCTCGGGCTCGCTGTTCCCGAGCTCCACTCAGGCGTCGGAGAATTATGGGACCTAGAATCTTAGACACTATGTTCGTCAGGCTGATTCCTCTATGGTTATCACAAGAGGACTTTTCGCCTTTCTTGAGGACTGGGATAATCAGTGATTTAGACCAGTCAGAGGCTATCATATCTGATTCCCATATACTGGTTAACACTTCCGTTAACCTGACTAAGAACACTCTACCACCACCCTTGTATACCTCAGGAGTTAGTCCGTCTGGTCCTGCTGCCCTTCCTCGTTTCAGGTTACCCACAGCTTTCTCGACTTCTGCTAGTGTTGGAGAGCCTATTTCAATGTTCCATTCACGATTCGATTGGATAGCGAGCAACGCAGTGGTGGCAAGAGGCCAGTTAAACTCTTCCTAGAAGTGTTTTGTCTATCGTCACAGTCGTCTCACCTGCGGGTGAATTGCAGATCCGTCTTCCTCCACTATAGCCTCACTAACTGTTGTTGACCTTTCCAACCAGTTTTCTTAACAAGTCTAAATAACTGTCTACTGTTACCAATCGCCACCGCCTTTTCCATCTCTTTAGCCTTCGTTGCCCACCACTGTTCGCAGTCGTTGCGAAGACTTTTTCTCAATCTACTTTTAAGTTGTGCTCGCTCTTCATTGTACTCAGAGCTTGCAGAGATGCGTTCACGTGCATCCATTAGTTCGGAAAAAGCTGCTGATATCCACCGGCTCTTTTTAGCCACTATTTCGGAGTCGGCTACGGTCTTCAGTGCTGCTTTTACAGCAGACTGGAGATGGCACCAAGCTTCTTCTGCATGAGTGATAGTGTTCTGTTCCGATAACTGCCTAGTCAGTTTTTCACTGAACACGGCTTTGATGTTTTCGTTGTTGAGATGCACTCGTAGTGGTTCTGTTGCCAAATGTTTCTTACGTCGATTGAGTCGCAGGCATATATGCGCTCGGACCAATGCGTGGTCGCTATCCAAACACGTACTCTAGAAGGAGTGGCAGTCTCCCGCCGATCATCTCCAGTGCTGACTGATATCAACGTGGTCTATCTGTGTCCGTCGCTGAGTTGAGCTCGGTGGACGCCACGTCAAACAGTGTCTTTCTTTATGTCTGAGATTTGTGCTAGCTAAAAATAAGCGGTTATCTGAGCACAGTTGTAATAGGCAATCACCGTTATTTGTACATCCCATCGGGACTCCGAAAGTGCCACCTAAGTGCCTTTCTGCCTCACTCAGTCTACCCGCCTATGCCCTGAAATCACCTGCAACAATCACCACTTCCGAATGTTTGGCTTTCGAGAAGAGGCTAGACAGTTTACGGTAGAACTCGTCCTTCACTTCATCCGAACTACAGTCAGTGGATGCGTAAGCAGAGATTACAGAGAGACAACGGCGAGTCTCACTATTCCTTTCAGTTCTCGCTGTGCCGTTCAGTCAGATAGCGCAGAGGCGACTATCAACTGGGATCCAGTCTAGTAGTGTTTTCTGCCCTAGTGCTTAGTGCTATACCTACACCTGCAAGACCACGAGAGCCAGAGATCGAATCTCCAAAAACTCGAAAGGTGAATTTTGCGGATTCACCAGATTGGCCAGGAGATGTCAGGTAAATAACCACACTTGGGTCCTGTATGCGTGTCTCACAAACACAGCACACATCCATGGCCCGAGTTGCTAGAGTCTGCCAACGAAACCTGTTGACTAATTTGAAGGAGGGTGAGGACATTGAAGGCTGCAATATGTAATTTGGAATGTGGTTTAAGGAGACCAGGGATGCTGTTCTTTGGACTCGGATTGTTGTCAAAGGCTGCAGAGCTAGGAGAGATTGAAGATGATGTAGTATCGTTAGTCGAGAGACGTGAAGGAAGATTAGAGGGTAATGATGAGGTATGTGGATAGCAGTCTGAAGAAACTTGAGTGCTGATGAAGGTGTGAGAGGGGTTGACACTTCCCGGCTGCCCACACCGTGGAAGGCTATTTCTTATCAAGGTACCTGAAAGAGATTTGTGTGACCGCAGAGCCCATCGGACATTTGCTTGAGGCCTGTCACACGTGGCCTTTTGTGTATGATTATTTTGAACTTTTGTTGTTTTGGAGTCGGATGGTCGGAAAGAAACGACAAATAAACCAACACCGCTGGCTCGGTAGACCGTGGGGCATGGTGGATATGTTTTATTTTGGGGGCTGACCTTTTCTAACCTCCCCTCCCCTCCACTGAGAAGGCAGCATCAAGATGGAACTGCTGGTCATCCAAAGGAAACACCTTACTGTTGTTACACCCCATCCAGCTAACAGCAGTACGACTTCGCCCTCAGACCCCCATCATAGTGTAGCAATTTACACTATAACGGTAACTGCTTTTCGTCTAACCACTATCCAACAGACCTTTCTGGTATGGTAGGACCTCGAGGGAACAAGTTTTCTACCAGCACAGCTCTTTGGGCCATTGTGATATGCAAGCCCGACTACCTCGATAAGGTATCAGCTAGCGGTCGGGAAACCGTGACATATCCAGTTCACACTCTGGATATGAAAAAATACCTCTAGAGTCTCATGTGTTGCCTCAAAGTTTTGTGGAGATTACACGTACTTGATGACTGAAAAATACTATGGCGTTTTGAGTATGCATCTTACGAAGGCAACATATTCAAGATATCACAGAGTTCAAAATTTTGCCTTTTTAATAACGTAATGTAGCTCAACAGATTGGTATGGGTATGGTAAGCAGCAACAAAATATTTGAGGGCTTTTGATACGATGCGGATGCTGAATTACGTGCATAGTGGTTTCAACCTCTGTGGAATGAAAGTTCACAGCCTAAGCCGCTGAGTTACACCAGGAAGTGAAGCGAAAATTAGCATAACCTATTTCCTTCTGATTTTTACTGCAGTAAATTTCCAAAATCAATATGCTAACCTATTTTTTATGACTGTCAACTGTAGCTACACAGCACCATTAGCAGTCTATAGAAATATCAGAACCTAGGCTGATAGTCGAGTGTTTTTCTTACAAAGTTTATTGCATTGTTCAGACTTGTAGAATTTTGGTTTATTTCATTTATATGATGTATACACTTTACTTTGGTCAGTAACTTTTTAAACAAAGAAAAAAAGTTAAATTAAATGCAAAAATTGTGAGTGATAAGTAAATTTACTTTTACAATCAAGTTAAACCCTTTTGAACGTGACATACTTTGGTGGCCTTGCTCAATTCTATTCCAGCAGAGACAGCACTGAGAGAAGACGTCGCAGCCGAGGATGTGTGCCTTTTCAAATAGATAAAAGTCGTACATGTAACATGGGAATAATCAGATAGGTAAACATATTTATTAAAACATAATATGACTTGAAATGTGCATAACTTGATGAACGAAAGTTGGCGGATCATCTGTAAGCAGACGGGCAATATGAAGATCGCCTTAAGCTGAAATTAGGTTGTCGTGTGTAAAAAGCGCTACTTCAGCTTAGTAACTAAATCGTACCTTATACCAGAAAACCGTCTTAAATACACAGGTATATAATATCTAATGACTGATAATATAACCCAGTGCAAAATATTACATTTACATGAATTACTTATTTCTTAGCAACTGTCTGTGATTTAGCCATTGACTAATCTTAGTATTCGTTGTAGTATGCCACTAATGCTTGATGAAAAGCTGTAGAGAATCAGGTTTCTCTCATTCGGCAAATATATTTGCTTTCACTCCGTTCAAACTACTTAGGGAAATGGAATGCACGAAATCACACCATAATCACAACTTTCCTTTAAAATCCCTAACGTCTACGTGAGTGTGCATAAACGACTTGTAAGCAATAGTATCTTGATGCTTGCGTTTACCAGTAAGCATATAAGCTTATACGTACATAAATTCTATAGTTTTATCAAGTAAAAAAGTGAAGTAACAACACGGTATGTTACCTTGAGCAACGTTTGAATCTAGTTGGTTAAAAAGATGAGATGAAGAAAGTGGTCCTGCGAGAGCACATGAAGTAGCACTACCAGGTTCAACTATTTTAGGTGAAGACATCGGTGTTCTGCTAAAACTGGAAATAAGATCAATAGTGCGAAATCAGAATCATCCACTAGTAAGTCTACTCCAGGGATATAAACAGGAGAACTATCAATCAAATCATCTTTGGTATCTTCAACTAAGGCATGATTTTTCCTGGAAGCTGAAAATCGAAAGGACAAAAAACACTTTCAAAAGTAATATGACCATTTTAAAATAAAAATTAACTGGTATGCTTAAATTGTTCAGTAGACAGCGACCTGTGGAAATTGGTACCGACAGCTGCTATCTGAATCGGTTGGCTTAACTTGTACATCACAACGACTCAACGAACGACACTCGTTGGAACGCTTGTTCCACTGAGGTCCTACCATGCCACAAAAGTCTGTTGGATAGTGGTAAAATGAAAAGCAGTTACTGTTATAGCGTTCATTGCTAGGCTATGATTTCGGTCTGAGGGCGAAGTTGTACAGCTGACTGGCGGGATGCAATAGCAATAGGGTGTTTGCTGAGGATGATCAGTAGTACCATGTTGGTTGCTGTCTTTCCGGCGGGAAGAGGGGGTTAGAGGTCGGGCCCAAAAACAGCACACTCCCCTATACCCAGAGGCCTACCAGTGCCAGCGATGTAGAAATCATAGTCGGATTCGAAACTATCAAACTTAGACCTCAGACTTCATGAAGGTAAAGTGCGACCTTGGAGGTATCTATAGAATCCCATGCCAACGAACCGACAACGTTGACCATCTGTTGCAGTTTCGTTCTGACAATCATTTGTTTCTGCCCAGCACTAACTTCAAGCATAAGGAGAGACAGTCCCACATGGCATCCGCTGACATCAAGCCAACTGTGAACACACATAGATGATATTATTACAAACCAGCATTTGATTGGATGACTGGGGATTGCCGCTCTTTCTGGAGCACGGTTATGTGTGTATCTTGGCTTTACAGGTGGTGGAAAACAGGTATCAGTAACCCCTGCATGTACTTGATTGGAAGATAACAGCGTGAAGTACGTATTTTGGTCAAAGATAGGTAGGCATCTATCAGAACGTAACACCAATGCTGTTCGTGAGGAAACCTGGTTTGATATTAGGTCTGCTATAGAAACAGCCGTGAAGAAAATTGGTAACCTACATCCCAAGGTTAGCAAACATAAATGTATTTCCGTGACGTAATCCAAACTGATTGATGCGAAAAGACTGATTCCAGCTGTCTGTCAGTGATGCCCGCTGTTCACCGTTTGTGTTCAACTTTGTTATAGGTGTCATCACTATGACACCTATAACAAAGTGGACATAAACAGGTACCTCTAGCTTCACAGAGGTTGACCTACTCCCTGGAGGTTATCTGATTGACTTGGATTACGCAGACGGTATTGTCTTGATGAGTGAAGGTGCTGACAAAATGTTGAGTCTTGTGAACACCGTTGTTTTTTGTTATCTCTGCTTACGCACTGGTCAAAAGCTATTGATGAGACTAATGGAAGTGTTAGTTGTCGTGAGAGAATCAAATGTGGTCTCATTGCACCTGTCTTAATGGTTTGTTACCCCAGTTTCAAAAAAAGAAATGGTCCTGTGAAATGCACTTGAAATGAGTCAGACGAATATTGTATCTAAGATCGTAGGTTTTACAACCATTAAAGATCTGAACAGAAAAGTAGGAGAATTAGTCTATGCTGGCCATGTGGTTGACTGTGATTAAGGAGACGGTATTATCCTGATGAGTGAAGGTGCTGACTAAATGTTGAGTCTTGTGAAACCCTTGAGGAGAAATTGGAATGCGTCTAGCACCTATCAAACGTTACATGATAGGTGATCCAGGGCTGGTCTCGAATCAGTCTTTGTTTAATGATAGGGAATGAAGTGGTGAATCGTGTCGATCGCTTCACTTACGTGAGCAGTTGCATCGGCGGATACGGAGTGATTGTTGGGGAAACGTTAGCTGGGATATAGGAGGCCCGTTTGGTCTTTGCCACCTCGCGTCATCTGTAGGAGGAAATAGTGATAGACACGCAAGTAAGCTACACTGTAGTCCGTTTTATCCTGTTATGCGGCTTTGAGACATGGCCGCTGAAAGTAGAAGACATGAAGCAGTTACAGGGTTTCGATGTTTGCCGCACTGGTCGTGTTTGGTGGACTCACTGTGTGAGGAATGTTGAGGTCAGGCAAAGTGCAAGACAGGCGATTCGAATGACGAGGTTGTGAAGCTTAGTCGACTGAGATGGTTTAGACATGTGTCGAGCATGTCGAGTCACGGACTACTTCGACGTCCAATCCAGGGGGAAGTTGGATTAATTTTCAAGAGGGTTCAACGTGGCACCAGTCGACAGTTCCTAACTGTTAGTCTGAGCTGGGTCACGGGTCCAACTTCTGCTTCTCATACCGAGGTTCGAGCAGCCATGCAGTATCACCATCTTACACAATATGTGTGGATCACTGCCTCGAGCATGGATGTAGAGAAGGTGGCTGAGTGCGTAAATAAAAAGGTGTCAGCTGTGTGGGGAAGTGCAGGTTGCCCTGATTAGAGTTTTTGAGACGATAGGAATCAGTAGTTGAGGTCTCTTGGTGAAATCGCTGAAAATCAGTCACAGTTGTGCAGATGTATACATTCCTTGACGTTTTCTAAAGAGTGAATACCTTCGCTAACCGTTATTTTCAGATTGTTTATTCTGTCGAACGACTTTGTCTAGTTATAAATCACTTTCTCTACCTAGTTCTTTGCATGCTGGTGGGAAGTTTGGTAACTTCAAGCTGTATGACTTAGTGCAAGGTTTCAAATCGATTTTGTTTGTCTGATCTGTGGAATTTTTCTAGCTCATTAGTTTGTCATTGAGGCAATCTGAATTACAGAAACTAGAACATAATTATCAGTCCAGTTTGGAAATAGGTCTTAGACATTTGGTTGTTTACTACTATTCGGCTAGCACAAGTTACTGAGTTTGAGGAAACTGTTATCCGTAGTCTCATTCTAAAGTATGAGAATTTAAGCTTCTGGTAACTGAATAGTATATTTTACGACCAGCAAAGGAACCCAACATACCTTATCATGATGGAAGAGCACCGGACTGTTACTTCCAACACAAATGTAACAAAACGAGTGATATCTATTAACTTCAGAATACTTTTCAACTGGGTATCCCAACCACAATATATGATGAGGTCAAGAAGCTCGAAATCAAAGGATGGTTAGAGATCAGATGAACAACTTTCATAATGACGAAAGACAGTAAGGGTAGACAAATTTCGCTCTTCATGTAAACTAGTGAAGTATCTCAGTGAAATATCCAAAGCTCAGTTTTCTTTCTGCTAACGTGCGAAGGAATTCAAGATAACGGTAAAAGCTGTCTTAATGTTCGTCATGAGAACATGTTTTCTTCTGCAGAACGGTTCACACACAGTACAAAGTTTACAAGATAGCCTTTGATATAAACAGCACTTAAAGCGTAGTCACACTAATAGGTCATCACGAGCCTTACGTGTACCCGAGTAATAATCAGCTCAATCCTTTATCGCAAGGCTTTACTTCATAACACTAACCATTTTCTGTATCCGGTTTCAGGGCTAGTACACAATATGAGCAATTGTATCATTTGTTACATATGTCAAAGTCACCAAAGCCGATTTTATAAGTTGAATTCACAGGACCTATCTGACTCGACAGTTATTAACAAGGTGGTTTCAGTGAGTACCAATAATCCTACTTAGATGATGGTGACTGAATATGCAAAGTTTTCGAATATCCTCAGCTTGTAGGTGAAGTTTTAAAAGCGAAGAGCAAAACTGCCCATGCTGATGTTTGACAGCCTAAGTGAGAGGGTCACAGGATGAAACATGGAATCGTATGTCGCTTTGGATCTTCGTGTGCGTCTCGAAATATTGCGTCACCTCTACCACAAACAAAACTACTTAAACACAATTGTTTCGTCGTTTTCCATCGGTTCATCAACAAGCGTGCGCACAGATACAAGATTTTGTCAAAAAACGTAAATACTATTACCTACTGATAACGAATAAGTGCGGTTTTAGAAGCCTGTATTTTTTCGCACAGTAGACGATATTGTTCGTCCACTTAAGGTTGAGAAATCTCCTGGTGAAAGGTGTACGTAAACAAGCACACTCTTTAAAGCTATCTCAATAATGTCATCAGGGATAAAGCCAAAGGGATGACAAAGCCACTGGACAATGCCTAACCCTACTGCAGGTTTGGAACAATGGAAGGCGTGCATGTCCTCACTACCTGAGGTGGTTATGTAAACGGCTCCCAAGACGCTGATAAACTCACGAAAATACCTTTTTAATAGACAGTCGTAGTAAACAGTCATCCAAGGAATTGAAAGCAGTCCTATTATCAAGAAACGCAGGCAGTTGGTCTACAATACGTATGTGTGATGTGGTGGAGGATAAATAGGTGATCAATGCATAAGTGGACTTCAGAAAATCCTGTCTGCTAATGGTGATCTAAGCTTTCACTTTTCTCGCGAATAGCTAACATTTTGGACCCATCTGTCACACTGACTATTGGTACTTACATTTAGCAAACCTTTTGGAAGATGTGTAGAACTACGATCTCGTGCTAGAATAATGGGAGAACAGTTAATTCCTAAAACGTCCCAAGTAAATCTTCAAAATAAGGAGAGAACTTGGACTTCGTAATCCTGTATAAGAATACCACATGCTGAGGAACGTTGTCTTTGAAAATTCACTTTAGTTATTCATTCCTTTAGCAATTAGGAGAATGAATAAAGATAACTAGCTTACAATCACCATACCTGAGACTGGAAGGTGTTTGAAACATTTGATAAACACTGTAACTCATTAGAAAGAACTACCTGAGAAGATGATAGGTGACAGAATTAGTACAGACAGATGTTCAAATACTTGCACCTACCTGCCACTTAGTTTCATGACGATAAACTGAGTTGAGTAATGTATGGAAAAACTAAATTCGCAACCTGGGCTCAACATAGTTGAGAATGTAGTCAACTGATTGAAGAAAATGACGTAGCAGATAAAGCTAAACAGGGAAATGCTCAACTGTTAAATTGTCTGTTAACTTTACTAATTGGATGAACATGTTAACAACAGAGAACCCTACTATTAATAACGGACTCACCCGAGATGACAGAGTTGGTAAATGAGGAAGCTGGTGAGGCAGCTGTCGAAGGAGCTGCGAACCTTGTTAAGAGATGAGGAGACAATAAGGGAGCTACATCATCATCTTTTTCTGACTGCGTCGGATCGATATCCATGTGCATTGAATACGGCAGACAATATGAGGGCGATTTCCGACTCGTAGGATATTTATGACCACCCAGCCTAAGTTGATCCTCAGGAAATTTTGAATAGTATCCTATACGACGTTCTGAAGGCACAGATTGGTCTGGTTTGCATGCTGTTGACTGGCCCAAGGAAACTGGATTAGCATCCGGAAGCTTAAAAAACATCCTTTGACTATCACACCGATTTTGTGACGTAGAAGGTACGCGTGTCAGTTCATCGCCTGCCTCATCTTGATAATCGACCCAGCAAATTCTCTTGGTAGAATTTACATTCGAATAGCTTGAGTCAAGAGTACGCTTGCACGACTGTTTCACCACTGAAACAAGTTTCTCAGTATCCTGTAACTTATGTGAAGGCATCCCAGTGCTGCAAACTTTCCCTCCCACTTTAGCGGATAATTGTAACTCAGTGAATTCTGTCATACACTTAACATTTTCATCAATGTTTGAAACTAAGAGCGTGTGTGGTTGTATACGTAAATTGATTTGCAAACGTGAAGAACGAAAGCAACTTTCAAGTACCTAATAAGGTTCCTTCGGATCGCTACACAGCGTCTCACGCCTATAAAACTAGTGTTCCAGTTATCATGTTCACTGATTATGTAGTTTTAGTGTTCCAATTACGCGCTTATGAAAATTTAGTTCTTCGTTTCCTAATACAGTTTTCGTCATGATTAAGAATTTAATAAATAACATTTTGAATGCGCATATTTTACTGGTAATGTTTGTTCATGTGAACATGGTGGACTTGTTTATCAGTCAACAGCGCGTTATTCTGAAACTTGCATTGTAGTGGTGGTCAAGTTATGGCGTCGGAACCGTCTTCTCATCAGCTTGTCGGATATGTCACGAAAATGTATCCCACTTTTGGATACATCAATAACGAAATATTTTTCCAGCGAAAGTAGGTGTTCTCTCGTTCTGCTACATATTCTTGAACAGATGTGTGATTGGCCCGATGGTGGAAGTGGGAGATAATGTGGCAGCCAGCGCTGTTTATCAACCCCATATGCCAATAAAGTGGAGCGCTGAGAAAGTCTGGCGTGTGGAAGAGCGTCGTGGCGGTCCAGGGAGAAGGGAGAGGAGTCTAGTTTCCGCAAAGGCCAGTCACCGCGTAAGATTTCACCCTGCGATAACTACAGCAATCACATGAAAGAGATTCACAACTAGTATCCACTGATCAGCGGCGAGTTGATAAAAAACGTACGCACATAACAGATAGGTATGCTGTGATTATTCCATTATTGTCGTTTCAGAGATGGAGATCGCTCGCTCAAAAAGTCACCCATAAGGGAAAGACGAAGATCTATGGATCTTGTACATCATTCTTCTCCTGGATCTGATGTATACTCTAGAACTCCGATTAGTTCCAAGCGTATGCTGAACGTGAAAGAATTTCTGTTTTCAGATCTTCAAAGGCGCTTTCCGAATATACTACCCCCTGTTGACTTATATCGCGTCAGATGCTGCTGGCAGGAGTCATTCCCACTGCTTAAGCCTTTTCAACCTCAGTATTCCACAACCTACCAGGTAATATCCTTGACTTGTTTCTGATATGCAATAGTAACTGGGCTCATGTGAATGTACAACTTTATGCACCAGAATTGCTGTTGGGTACCACTTACTGTGTGCTCCGTTGAATATTTGTGGCAATTTTACCGTCAAATTTTTGTTTTCCCGACCCAAACTAGAATAAATGCTTTCCTTGAACTTTGGGACTCAACCGTTCCAGAGAAACCAATTGTGTTCCCTAGTTTATTCTACTGTGGATATGGTCTCTTAGCAATAACTAGGTACTTCTCTTTTTATGCTGCTTAGACTGAGGGTATATACTTTCTAGGAATTCATCCTTGACTAGATGATTGCTAACAACCTTGACTCTTCGGGACGACTTTATGTTGTCGCTTATTGTCTCAAAATGATTTTTATAAATACATGTGGATTTGGGAATTCGACTTCGAGACCAAGGAAATTAGACTCATGGCGCTAAATATTATAACTTGGAATCAAAGGCAAACAGCAATTGAATCCCTTTTTCCAATGCCTTCGACGAAAATAAAGATTTCCCTGCTGCTTTCTGACCTGATTGTTGTTGCAAACTTAGTAGGAATTAAATGTTGGAGTTTTAAGAGCTTACGTCTTTACGGTATGCGATCTAGTCGTGAAGCGTACTCCAGTGTTAACTTACGTTTATTTTGAGTAGTGACGCCTGTCTTATGGTAAACCTTTGGGAATTAGCAGGTAATGCAAATGACAAAGTGAAAAGTAATTCCATTTGATTCTGTCAAAACTACTATCACTAGAAGTTTTTGCGCAAAGAAGTATCTTGTCGTGACATCCTTTCAATAATTCAAAGCTTTAGTAAACGACCTCACCAACTCCCACCATATTTGCCACTTCAAGGTTCTTTGATATGCACCCAAGAAAAGCGAAATTCTTTAGTTCTCGTTGGAGGTTGTCGTCGTCTGGTTTTCCACACAAAACTGAGGTTTGAGAAGGGTACATAGAAATTTTGAAATGTGATTGAAAGCCTATCTAGGTTTTGAGATGGCTCTTATTTCGAATAATCAAGGTACGTACAATGAATATACTCTTGTGCCTGCATAACATCAAACCACGTGAGATTTCAACAAAGCTAGGCCTCCAAGTGGCTCCACATTATTGTATGAACGGTAGAATCTAAAAGTCTTGCTTAGATGCATCGGCACGCTGACCTTTCCAACCCATAAACATTTGGCTTAAATTATTTAAGTGTTCATCTACTAAGATGAGAATAGACCATGTCGTCTTGCTACCGTGATCGAGTGTGTAAGACCTACGCATGTTTTATTACTTGAAACTGAAAGTCAGCAATAAGAAAGCAATTATTTATGTGGTTTGCTAAATCGTAACCCTAAATTTAACTTTATAAGTTCATTTTAAAACACTAAAACAGCAAAATGCTAACAAGTATTTCCATTTCAGCGACTGCGCTTTGTTAGTAAACCTTAGCTGTACTAAACAAAACTGCTGTGCCAAATAGTAATTTCTGTACAAGGTTTAATAAAAGCTAGTAAATTTCTGCAACCTTATCCGAATCGATTGATGTGCGAAAAGCTCATGCCGACTCGCCATAACGGTGAACGAAAACAGCTATCTGCAAATTCACCGGAATTTTTCATAGTGGTTGTAACAGTGCGTAACAAAATCCAGTCTGAATTCAAAAGCATCGACGTTATCTATAACTTGGCAGTTAAGTTTATCAAAGATACTTGCATGGTAATAGTGTGTGAAACAACCGCCAGTAGGACCAATCAAAAAACCTAGTATCCTGTTGCAAAACACGGCCACTGATAGTAGGTATGAAGGGGTCGCTGATTTGGAACTTTTAATATCTTCGTGGCGTAGTTCATATTTCGATGCAACCATTTGAGCAACGTTGAAGCTAAGTGAGTCATTTGAAAAATCTGTGTACTGTCTCTGACTGGTATGTGATGGGTATTTCACATACCAATCTTCCGCCTACTTTGTCGTGCGATGTTAGCCAAAAAGGCTTAGCGTATTCACACCACGATGTAGCATCAGTTCATGAAATCCTTTGACTGCTGATCCGAAACTTTTCGGGGAATATAGGTGTAGGCTCCGTTTTTAAAGTCATCAAGGCGATAGAAACCAATGTTTAGAGAATATTGGTGAAAAGGCCCAAAATCAATCATAGTGGCGTAGATGTACGCACTCTATCGTCTCTGAAGTCACAAATGTTTTCAGTAACCTTCATCGATTTATTCTTTCTCCTGTCACATTTTTGTCAAGTATTATGACGTTCTTTTTTATCTACATCTTGTTTGCATGCTGTTATGCAGTGTGACAACTTATGTGGCAGTTCCTGCATGCATTCATCTACTTGTGCTAGGGACCTATCCGACATGCATGCATTGTTTCAAATATGAGAACGATATTTCACTAGCTAGTAAGTTGCACAGAAATCTTAGTTACTTCGGTAGTTGCGTAATAGATATAATAATAGAATGACTACACCTTCTTGCACACTAGATGGTTTAAGTAGTTGAAAATGTGATACAAGAAAAGCTTCACTTGCAATAAAAAATCATCTGAAAGCATGTCTTTAAAAGCATTGTGCTCACTAGAAAATCGTATCAGTATTTCCGATACTGTTCCCTAACCCTGCAACTGGTTGGACGGAGTGGAGATGTGACCAGCGTATAACGTGGTGCGGGGGGGAGGGTGGAGTGATGGGTAGTTGTGTTCGATCAGCGTCTTTTGGCACCTCCTGAATAAAGTCACAGAGATCAGTGATAATGGATGTGGCTCAGAATCGAACCCAGTAGCGATCACGCCTTGTCTTTCTTCTGTTATTGAAAAGTAAAGCGAACGCAATGAATGCTTCTTTAAGAACTAATATCTAGTTCGCTTGTGTCCTTTTTAATTTCTGTCCCTGTTAGTCACTTACGTGTTCCCAATGCTGTAATATTATTTTGTATTGTGCAATTTCGGTGCCTGTTTTACATTGTTTGTTTTTTGAACGAACAAACAACCAGTACAGGCTTTCAGCGCAGTTATAACTATTTCTCTAACTCGTCATCAGAATTGACGATAACGGGTAGTGTCCGTCGAGGATGCCCACTGTTCGTGTTCAACTTCGTTATAGGCGTACTAACTGACAAGACTTTATGTACTTCTGACCTCACAACGTTTGATGTACTCCCTAGATGAAGAAGGTCTGGCTTGGAATACGCAGACAGTATTGTTCTGTTGAGTGAAGATGCTGACAAAATGTCGAGTCTTATCAACGCCTTGAAGAGAAATTGGACTATGTTTAATTTTTTGTTATGTCTACTGGCGATGTTTACTTCAATGTTTCATTTTTCACTTTTACTTCGTAAACTAGATAATCAAAGAGACCGATGCCGGTGAAAATGTACATCAACCCTACAATGACGATACTGGTTTCGCTGCTTATGTCTTACTATTATCACTTCCCGCGATGTCAGAACTGATGGAAAAAATTGTTGTCAAAGCGGAATCTTCCAGCCGCATACGTGGTTCATTACGTAAGTACATCAAAATCCTAGCTGTAGCGAAAGCCGGGGAAAGACTTAAGGCTGTTGGTGGATCGTGGAATCCTGAGTTAGATGGGGCAGACCCGACAACAAATCCACAGACCCTGGTCAATACTGCAATTCGTAGCTGCAAACAACTCATTGGTCTTGATTTATCTTTCTGCACGCAATGGTAAGTCTCGCCTTTTTTAATTTCCGAACTAAGTCTTATGGCTGTATATATCTCATATATGTCTCATATTCAGTTTCGAAGAACAACTGAGATAATTGGCTAGTACATGCTAGTTGTTTTAATCGGAATTAAGAGTGAATTCAACTGTCGTTTAATTTCTCAACGCAAATTGAATATGTAATAGTTTTATTCTATCGTTACTATTGTTACAGTTCACCAAACGGTCTAGTTCTTCTGATTACCATTTTAATCTGTACATGTTAGTTCGAAGACCTCATTTCACCTTTGATATTCCACATGCATAATACAG